CGGCTCAAGTCCACACTATATACAAGTCTCGTTCCTGAACATATTCTTTGTCCGTATGTTTACCCAACGGTTCCCGTGTTCTGAACATACGGGTTCCGTATCGTGAAAGGACGGACCCCGTATCTCGAACGTACGGAGTTCCTTATCTCTTATCGTCACGTGACTTGTCCCATAGTTCTTCCGTCCCGAGAGGAGTCGCCCTGAGTTCGTGTTCCCGCATATATGGTGTGGTAGCCGCCGTAGGTCCTGTGGGGCAGGCCCTGGCCTTGTCATGCGTGTTGGGTCGTAACAGAAAGGGTATTAATAACTATTTAATAAGCTATTTTATAAAAGAGTTAAGTTTAAAAAAGGAGCAAGGCTTTTTAAATATAATTTATTAGTTTATAGCCGTAGGGATTTTAATTAATATATTAAGATTAAGTATTTTAATATTTTTATTAAAAAATATTAATTTATAGTATAAATAATTACGAGCTAAGAGAGAACGGGGAATATTAATTTATTAAAAAAAAAAATAGAATTAGTTTATAGTTTATTAGTAAAAGGGTACTATTTATATAAGATCTATATAATATAGTAAAAGTTAGTATTATAAATAGGATTTTAATAAATAAAAACTTAAAAATAATAAAAGTTTTATAATAAATTTAAAAAAAAGTTAAAATAAAAGTAATAGATTTACTATTACTTTTATTTATTAAAGGATTAAAATAAGAAATATAATTAAAATTAAATAGAGTATAGGGTTAATTATTTTTATTTATTACTAATAAGTAAAAAGCTAGCTAAGTACGTATTTAAAATTTATAAATTTAAAAAAATTAAATAATTCTTTTACTTATTATTAATAAGTAAAAAGCTAACTAAGTATATATTTAAAATTTATAAATTTAAAAAAATTAAATAATTTTTTACTTGCTATTAATAAGTAAAAAGCTAGTTAAGTACGTATTTAAGATTTATAAATTTAAAAAAATTAAATAATTTTTTTACTTACTATTAGTAAATAAAAAGCTAGCTAGGTACGTATTTAAAATTTATAAATTTAAAAAAAATTAAATAATTTTTACTTACTATTAATAAGTAAAAAGCTAGTTAAGTACGTATTTAAGATTTATAAATTTAAAAAAATTAAATAATTTTTACTTACTATTAATAAGTAAAAGGCTAGCTAAGTACGTATTTAAAATTTATAAATTTAAAAAAAAAAATTAAATAATTCTTTTACTTATTATTAGTGAGTAAAAAGCTAGCTAGGTACGTATTTAAGATTTATAGATTTAAAAAATCCTTTTAAGCCTAACCCTTTGGGCCTATATTAATAGTATAATAGCTACTATAGGTTTTATAGGGCTGGCCCTAGTCTTATTATATGTATTAGGTCGTAATACTAAGGTATATATTTAAGATTTATAAACTTTAAAAATTTCTTTTAAGCCTAACCCTTTAGCCCTATATTGATAATTAGTTTTTTAGTATTATATTTTTTTTAAAATAAAAAAGGTTTATATAGCTTAAATATATAATTAATAAAAGACTGAGCTTTAATTAGAACTAGTTAAGATTTTAAAAATCGTATATACTAGGCCTATTAAGTTATTCTGTATAATGTTAAGGGGGGACTAATATTATATAGACTCGAAAGTACTTACTATTATATATATTCTGGATCAGGTTAGTGCCATGAGCATAAGCGGGCACTAAGATATACGAACCGTTAAATAGTGCTTTTTATATAAGGGTTCTATTATAAACTAAATCTATAATGACGGTCACAGTCTCTGGGTTAAACTCGATATTTGCGGCACTTTCATTCGTAGTTATCGTCCTAGCCGTCAGTACTGCAACAAGCCTTGGTGTGGCAGTTACTAGATTTCCAGTCTGATTTCCAGATGGCGCTGCAACAGGCACAGGCAGGGCTCCCGAGAATACCTCTCCAGCTTGCACAAAAATAAGTCCATGAACGAGTTCCTTCATCGTCTCAGGGGAATCTGGGGTGTATCCTGGAAAGCCGGTTGGCCAATGAGGCCCCAAGGTCATGTCGACATGCACCCTGAGTCTGCGAACAGGCTTGTAAGCTACCGTTTTGGGTAGGTACTCAACACAACTTTGAGGCTTTGACTCACTTGGCAGCTTGCTCGTAAGCAGCGAGAATACCATCTTTCCATCTACTCTCGCCCCATCCGTACACATGAGGGTCCATGGCCCCTTTCACACTATCCCTGACGTCAGCAATCTCGCCGCCGCCGAACCAACCATCCGCGATGCTGGTGAGTTCCGCCTCGACTCGGTCTGGCGAAATCCAGCCTCCGGGCCACCACCATCGGAATCGAGCCCTCTGATACGTAGACGGCTCCGTAACATGGCCTCCATGACTAGCTAGGATATCAGAGGCCACTAGGATTAGGGAGAGTAACATAGACATTGTATGGGACATCATCTGAAAGGTAGGATGAGGACATAATACCCCAATGTAAGCATGCGGTAATGGAGGCTACAAAAGCTCTCCAATCCTAAGGATCACTATGCATTATATAGCATCCGCCGTTAATCCTCCTCGGACGAATTCAGCCCGTGGTCTTGAAAGCGCATCGAGAAGATAATGATCAAGCACTCACCTAACTCTGTTCCTAAGCTTACACAGCTCACGTCCAAGCCCGACGAACATATCATATCGGGTCAGCTTGGGACGAACGTAACTCAATATCAACGACACAAAACTCTCGGTACCCCACACGTTCCGCTCATCAAAGAATCAAATTATCTTTCCGCGAGTCTATGCCTAGGTATTCTGCAGGTCCAAGGTCTTTTGCCACCTACACCTACCTGAAGGATCTGCATCACCCCTCCAGCACCTCGGTATAACCCGCAACGAGGCCCTTTGATTCACCCTTGTGATGAGCCAGGGGTTGAGGCGGAATGTGGAGGATCACGTCCTTCCCCCGCATTTTCTTCCCCGGACCGGCATGCAAAGCGAAATGCGGGGAGAAAACACTGCAACGCGCAAGAGGCGTCATCGCAAAGAATAATAGAGTCGAAGCTTGTTCATTTCTTGTTAGTGCGCATCTAAGCAGTGCCCGAGGATATTCCGCGACATATGCTACACGGAGCACACTGAGATCTAGTGGTCTTTGCCCCAGATAACAGCCAGTGTCTCAACACACTCGCTCTCAGCTCGGTCAATGAATCCCTTCACTGTTCAATTATCAGAAGGTTCATGTCGCGATTGATTTGGACTACCAGCATCCAAACTCCGCATACTGTGGTCACGGTAGCCCAGAGACCCCGAAAGCCATATCTCACTCTTTTGATTTACCTTCGCCTTCGGCTTTACAGGATTTGGTGTTACACTTGACTCAGTCGCCGACTCTGACCCATCGGTACTGGCTGCATTCAGATTCGACACGGGTCCTGGTGCAGGCTTTGCCACTGTCGTCTGTTCTTGCTTCGGTTCTTCTGCTTCCTCCTCGTGCTCGAAGAACAGTCTCAGACCGAGGGAGCATTGTGACAGTGCTGGTCTCTCCTTAATGCATGATGACACGCCGACGAGGCGTTCATTATCGTTATCTGTAGGACGCCAAGTTTGGACCAACGTCCCAGAGCCGCAGTTGCCATCTTGCAATTGCTTGTCATCAGTATACACAGTCCACAGCTTTTATTAATGTAGAGTAGTAATAATCTTTTCATTCAAATTAAAATAGTTATATAATATTTAAATAATTTCGCAACTATATACGCATACTAGTAAATAGGTGTTAAATCCGGACTGAATAGTTTTGCAGTGGTAAATAGCTCGTTTACGAAAGCTAAGCGAGGTTACTCCACTAAGCCGCATTTAGGATCGTGGGTCCTAAGGTCAAGATTTCCAGAGTCTGTCACCCTCTAATTAGCCAGCGCCAATCAATTAGCTAGAAGTACGATAGAAATTTGAGACCACACCTAGTGAGACTATGCTATCGGCCGCATGCATTGAGCATCATTTCCAAATTCATTACTTTAGATTCCCGGGGCTCATTCGGTTAAGCACTATTATTAAACCCCAGCCTTCCATGTGCGAAGGCGAGGCAAAGTTCTACGTACTCAGTCTCATCAGATCACTCCATGCATGCGCAGCCCATTTTCTCACAACGTTCAGCTCTTTGCAGAGCGGATATCGGCAGACACAGCAGCAGGGCTTAGCTATTTGACCAATCTCCGAAGGTTCAGACCCGGAAAGGAGCAAACTTCTAATCACAGCCAGACCGTCCTCCTCGGTGGGCCACTAGAAGACGGAAAGTCCCGTCATGACACTCAACATTGACGCTCGGCAGCGCATCGTCACTGGATAAGCCAAGGCTTCTTCGTTTTCGGGACGCAAAAGGTTTTGATGAACAAAAGAGGGGGTCCGACAGTAAGATTTGGTTGCGTGTTGATCATTACGACTGGCCTGAACACTAGGGGGCTCGTTTTCGGTGTAAAATCACGAAGCATTCGTTCTCGGAATGAATTGGCGTTGGCTGGGACAAGAGATCTCCGGATCCTGAGGTCTTCAAAGTTCTACGTCGCTGGGTCGAGAAGGTCTCGCGAGTATATTCCTTTCGAGATATAAAGAGATTCAAATGCCTGGTATCTTCACAACGCGTAGACTTTGCTCTTGCCCTTATTCACTTACATCTGTTTTTGTCCTCTCACTACTAGACCTTCAAGTTGATTACTCTCGCAATCCTCCCAATATGGCACTCTCCTCCTATACAGCCAAGATGATCTTAACCGGTCTTTTGGGCAGTGCAGTCGCCCAGGGGACCGTGCAACCAACCTCGGATGCTTGCGATGTTCTCCAGGAGACCGTTCAGGCTGTTACGTATGTACCTGGCAGCGACGGCTATACTAGCGCGACTGAAGGTCTGTAGAAGGTACTTATTCCACTTTAAGACTATGACTGACAATTTAGAATAGACTACTTTAGTTCCGCTGCATGGCTGTCTCCCTCCTGTGTCGTCGCTCCAGCTACTAGTCAGGATATGTCGGACATCATTGGAATTTTCAACGGGACTCAAACCCAATTCGCAGTTAGAGGTGGTGGCCATATGACCATTTCCAACGCTGCAAATATTGATGCACCTGGTGTTCTCATATCTACGTCTAATTTGAACAACTTGACCCTTTCGGCAGATCAAGCAACCATCGAAGTTGGCGCAGGAAATACCTGGTCGGATGTTTATCGCTTCCTGGAACCTTACCAACTTGCGGTTGTAGGTGGACGAGCAGGTCAGTTGGCTTCATATCATTACTAAGCCCCAGTATGACTAACTTGGAAAGGTCTGGTTGGCGTCCCCGGGTTCCTCCTTGGCGGCGGCATCTCGTTCTTCAGTAATGAATACGGCTGGGCTTCTACCAGCGTTGTTCAATATGATGTAGGTTCACATCTCGAGCTCACACCAACATGTAATCATCTTTCTACGGAAATGACCATAGGCGTTAGATTTTGAAAGGCTTCAAGGCTTGTAGGCTAACCAATCCATTGCTCTCCAGTGCGTCCTCGCAAACGGGGATATCGTGTCGGCTACATCCTCCAACGACTACTCCGATCTCTTCTGGGCACTCCATGGTGGTGGTAATTCGTTTGCCATCATTACTGGATTTCACCTCAAGACTTTCAGTCTCCTCGAGGTCGCAGTTGGCGAAAATCAGTACGACTCGAGCTCGAGGTCGCAATTCTTGGACAGCATCTACAGCTTCGCACTGGATGGCTCTAATGACCAGCACGTCGGAATTGAGCCCAGAGTCCAGTGGATTCCGTTAAACTCTCCAGAATTAGGCTACTACTCCATTCTATTCAACAACGGCGATACTGCATCTCCGCCCGCCCTCGATAACTTCACGCAGACGATGCAACCTATCAACTCCTCCTTCATTGTACGGCCCTCCATGTACAATTGGACGCAGTTTGCAGACTCTAGCCGGAGTCAGTTGCGTGGTTTGAGGGGTTCCTTTCACGTCGTCACTATTAAGGCCAACCGACAAGCTCTTGACATTGTTCACGATGTGTTTTTCGACATGATGAAAGCACAGCTATCTGATGTGACTAATCTCATCGGCAGCCTTGCCTTTGTTCCTATTACGGAACATTTCCTGAGTGTGTCTGCGGCCAACGGTGGCGATCCTATGAATGTGGACGCTACCCAAGGAACTTACATCTTGGTCGAGGAGACTGTCCTATGGACAGATGCCTCCAGTGACGCCACAGTCGATGCATTTCTCAAGGATTTTGACGCCAACGTCACCTCGCAGTTAGCTGACTTGGGCGACATCTCTTCACCATTTCTGTACTTGAACTACGCCGGCGCGGACCAGCCCGTTTTTCAAGGATATGCCGGCGGCAATCTGCAGAGAATGCAGGACATCCGCGCCAAGTACGATCCGGGTTTCGTGTTCACACAGTTGATGCCTGGTGGTTGGAAAGTAGAAGGTGCCTAAACTTCTCGTTGGTGCGAAGAAGTGACGAATTCGGGGAACTCGGCACATCAAAGACCAATCTGCTGGGTATTAAGACCCACGGGCATTATGTAGCAGTTACCTGCCCACTTTGGTATGTCAGTGGAAGAACTAGCTTCCATTGAATTCCGTCCAGTCAAATCTAGTAAATAACATATTTGGCTCTAATTGGGTTCTCTTGCCCTCAATGAGTGTCCTGCAGTGACCTTCCTATAGACATGATCATACTTATCACGGCCAGCTAAGGTAGTTGTAGGTGTTTGTTTGCAAAAGTTGAGGCTGCGATACTTAGTAATGGTGTTGCACGTCTGGATAGCTTCCCATACTTCGATAAGAGACCTTCCACCCTGGTGCATAAATACTCTTGATGATGGCCTCTTGCTGTGCCTCCTAACCTAAACAGTTCCAATCACTCGACTTAGAAGAAGCACTCCTCCAACTAAATCTTATTGGGAGATTATGTTTTGCTTCAAACCACAAGCGGTTCCTATGATCGCCTCCTCACGCGTGCCAGACGCTGAGCAAGACCATCGCGGTCGAATCAATACCATGATCAAGACCTTCAACGAGAACCTACCACATGCTGTTGATGCTAGGGGTGATCCAAAGAACAGTGGAGAAATCAATAGAATACTTTCATTCGAGATTGTCATGGCCATGAAACTCGCTCGCGAGAGGAAGGTGAAGCACGGGAATGAGATCTCGCGCTAAGTGACTTTAATGGAATCTAATGCCGATATCAACGGGGCTTCTCAAATAATACGGGTACCTCGCAATGTGGGTAACCCATTTCAGGAACTCGATATTGTCACCGACGAGAAAACATTCTCGAGATTAAGAACAAATGGACTACTGACACACCTGATGAAGGCCAATCTTCGTCTAGCACACGTGATTAGGGGGACGCTTGCCTACACAGTCCCGCATGACCTCTCACAATAATTCCCAGAGAAAGAGTCAGTGCGGTAATCGGCGTGTCGAGATATCATCGAGCATGTCGAATACAATTCAAGCAAAGCAAGCCTCGTATACCACCGCTTACTATCGTGCAGTAGGAGAACTAGGCTTCGTTCCTTAATTGATGTTCGTAGTACCTTAGTCATTGACCCCAGCTTTTCGAAGGGTTATAGCTCTGGCAAAGTTCGCTGTCCCTCAAAGACAACGACTATGAATGGTGATATGAAGCGCGTCAGTCAGTGTTTTCACGATAAGGGCTTCTATATAATGCAATATTAAACAACACCTTAACATTTACCTTCTTTTCCCTTATACCCCTAAAATATGCCCCTCCACCTGTCTCTATAACTAAAAGACAATCTTTTCTCAGCCTAGCCTAACCCGGCCTTTACCGGGGCCATGAGAATTTATATTGGCTCTTTGCATTTTGAAAATTGTTTTCCAACGCGACATCTATGATGCAGTCGGGGTTCTAGAATTGCTTCGCAGTCTTCGTAGCTCCTGGACAGCCTCAAGGCATATGATACCTTAGGTGGTGTCCAACGGTGGCCAACACACTGAAAATTTCGCGTCGCCGATGAGGATCCGAGCAGTGGTGGATATCATACTGTAGCGGTCAATAGGGGCTGCATAATTGGCTCAAGAAATTGAGCGTGCGCAGCCGTTGCGCTGTATGAAGCTTGAATCAATACCTCGTCGTCTTATCCGTCTAACGCAGGGAGCAAAGGCTAAGTCTAGACGGCGTGCTATCTCATATCGGTAGAAGCGCTTCCTACCACTTATGTAAGCGTCCGCAATGTGCCTAATGAGCATAATGATGAGCTAGCAGCTCCGGTCATTCACACTCATAGTAAGGCAGTACTATCAATGCAACTGGACGGCACTATGAACTACGCATAGGCAAACCAATTTATCTCGTAAGGATCTTTACTTGAGTTAGCATAGGTAGTTTATGGTGACGTGGGACAAACATTGGAATGGGGCATACGGCCCTTTGTTATGTTGGCTCATGAATGAAATCCAACAGTCTGCAAGTGACTTGTCATACGGTGTCCTTCAACCGGGGGGGAGGAGGGTTGCCGAGAAAACCGGTTGCGGGGTAAGTCTATTAAAGATCAGTGAATTCCTCACTTTTTATGTCCGAGTTTATCCTCTCTTACTTCCACCATTCTCTATCTTCTCCTGGGGAGCATACAAGTTTTGGGGCTTGTGGGCTAACACATCCGCTTTTTCTTCCTTTCATTTATTACGTCCGGACCTCGAGCATCAGGGACAGGCAGTGTCCACCGCAGATAGACAGTTTATTCTGTATCTGCGACATGTCTCCTTCGATTACCCAGCAAAGACAAGGGAGTTTGGCGGATACTGAAGGATATTTTCCTCTGGACCTGGCAGTATACGAAGGTAAACCTTCCACGAACGACACACAGCTCGCTAGTAGAGCCATTGAAAAGCTGACTCTTTTCCGTGCCAGTGTTGCCCACTAAGTCAAAGATCCTGACTGCTGAATGTTACGGACAGTCGACATGCACTCAGACAGGGCGGATTGCCATTTCCCTTTTCAATGGAGGGGTGAAACACTATTTTCTGAAGGTATCGTGCTGTGCGAAATCTTCGCGAAATTTCGACTCACTTGTACAGCCACTCCCAAGTATTAACATTGGGCACAGTTGGCAGTGGGTGACAATGGTCGGCGCCTCTGCCGAGGCGAATATTCCGCCCTCAGCCTGGTCAACACTCTCATCCCCGGGATGGCCCCCAAGGCAGTGGGTTGGGGTAAATACTCTTCCAATTGCCCAGAAACCTTCTTCCTCATTGAGGACTTTCATGACTTGGAAATGGCTCTCCCCAGTCCCGCTAGATTGGTGCGGCGCGTGTTGCAATTACACACTCAGATCTCCCCGAATGCCAAGTTCGGCTTCGGGGTACCTACATATGACGGAATTGCACCACATCCTGAAGGCTGGGAATCCAGCTGGAGGGTTTACTTCACTCGAATGGTTCAAAAGTCTGTTGAGACAGATGCTGCTGCCAACGGAACCTGGCCAGAGTTAACTGGAGCTGCCGATCATCTCCTGAAGTGTGTTGTGCCAGGCTTGTTGGACCCACTACAACTGGGATTGAATCCCATTGAGCCCCGTCTCGTTCATGGTGATCTTTGGGCAGGCAACATTGGGACGGACAAGAATACTGATGAAATCATGTTCCTTGATGTCGGTTGTTTCTACGGGCACAATGAACTAGACCTCGGAATGTGGCGACGCTATGGTTCACAGAATCTTGGTCAGCAATACCTGGACGAATACAAGCAGATCTTCCCACCTTCTGAGCCACAAGCGGAATTCGATGATCGGAACAGGCTTTACAGCATCAAATTTGATCTGAACGCTTCCGCTAGTACGCCAAGTGAGAAGAACAGGAATACGTAAGTCTAATTTTCGCGCTCCTAGAGCACTTAGATCTAATGACGGACTAATAGTCTCGGGTGCAGTGCGTTGAACAATATGCTCTATCTCATAGAGAAATTCAGTGTGATTCCAGTTGATGGTCTACCTAGGTACGATCCAGGCAAAGACCCCTCTGCAGGACCTGGATATATATATGCAAATAGATAAGCCTCGAACCTCGAGATCAAAGCTCGAACGATGCGCTGAGAGGAGCTATATCTGGTCGACGTCGGGGTGCAGGTTATTTCTTTAATTTTCTCTGTTCTATATCAAGCTTCTGCTTCGGCTATCAACGTAAAATCAAAGGTCGGCGTGTACTGACTTCATACGTCGCCAAGCTGTCTATAGCCTGCCATAGGATCATTCGTCCATAATGAATTGGACTTCATTGGATATCAGCACGCAAGATGTGTATCTTTGTTTTGCAACATGGAATATTTGTTTCTTTAATTGCTCTATACGAAAACATGCGTGTCACTTGAGATTGTTTCCGTGAAATTGTCTGAAAGATAGAAAGACTGAGGTCTTCTTGGGTATCCCAATCCTCCGAGTTACTCTCCTTTCCGGCGAATTGTTACTTAATTGCGACTCAAGAACCGGCTACTAATGACATCAACATGTCTCTATCGACGCTTTGCATATCTAGTCCAAGTCGGGTCATTGCAAAGCTTCTCTAGGCAACTTTCATAGATACCGACCAACATCTCACGCCCTCCATCAGGATGTTGAGGGTACATAATCTGCATGCCATTCAAAATACCGCAGCTAGGTGAGCGAATAGCCGCAATTTTACCTCCCAAAGCGTGGCCCCAGTCTAGATCGTACATTTTGAACTTTTCCCAAGACGTCTGTGCGCAGTTCTGGCCTGGTACGTCCAAAAACGATGTTGGGATCAATGCGCCCAGATCGTTCTGATTGTTGACAAGCTGAATGACATCATTGATGAAGGAACCGCTGAACTTTGTATCCATTGTAATGATAGCTCTGCGGATCAGCAAAGACAAGGCAGCGAGACTGTCGCTCTCGAGAATCTCCTTGATGGGGAGCTCTACCTGGATGAAGCCGAGGAAACTGCCCATAGCTTCCGGGTGGATCAACGGTTGACTTCGTCTTCGACCGTCGATGGCAATGTTGAATACAGATTTCTCGCTGCCGTCCAGCTGGACGGCGTCAAACTGTGCTGCCATTATGCTCCGCCAGATCAAAGCCGAGAGGGCATCGTTGGTTGATACATAGGACCCGTCGTCTGTTTGAGGCTGAGCGTCCTTCTTCAATCTCTTCAACGATTCTGGGGATAGATAGAAGATTTGCCCGATATGTCCATCCGTTGTCGCAATCTTGGCCAGCTGAGTCGCGGGGTCGGTGACGATGGTGTACTCGGGATGGTCTTCGATACGTCCAGCCATGTCATTTGGAAGTGCTTGAGGGATACATTGCGCAATTTGACGGTCCATGTAGATGTGATCTTCATAGCAAATCGGGTCCGATATCTCGAGACCTTGAGCCCGGCGAGTTTCCTCGGCCCACACTCGAATCCAGTTGTAGAATGCTTGCCCGTCACCTACGAGATGAAACAGGTTCCAGTTGAGAATCAAGCCGCCTCGAATGAAGTTAGCTTGGACAGTGGTGATAGGTATGCGTTCCCCAGGGGCAGGCCAAATGGCGCAGCGGGTGAAGGTTTCAGCTGGGAAGCTGGAAACCGGGAAGTGTTCGGCCTCAAGTTCTTCAAAAGAAGGTTTGAAAATTTCTGAATGACGTAAATCATTGATGATGACGGGCTCGATATCGTTGTCGGTAATTGCTTGGAGTTTGATAGCGTTGGCTTGTCTGGCTTCAGGGTCTGGCAAAGCCTCGCAGGCCAATGTTGGAAAACGCTCCTTGGTAGCCGAAAGACTCTGACGAAGAATCCTGGCGATGACTTGAGGGTCGTAGTTCTCCGAAAGTCTGAAGGGAAAGAGATAGCGCACCCACCCCCTGGGGCTGATCTGCTCAAGAGGGGTGAGTTGCGGAATCCCCGAGAGGATGTGTCTATCTGGAACAGATCCCATCGCTTCGAGAACGTTCGTTCGTGTTTTTTGTTAGACACAGACAATCTTCTATGTCAGGACATGTGATATTTTATGTGAAAGCTCGACATGAAAGCAATAATCAAAAATGCTCTTTGACCAATATAAATATTTGTCGAGGCGACAGAGGACTTTTGCGAATCCACTACCAAGCCAATTAACCCTTGCATAGTCCCACCTAGGTAGTCCTGGTGTGACTTCGAGGGGGTTGAACAGACAAACATCATCTGTTATTACTGCACATTGTTGGTTGGGACTTTGAGCAAACTTCCGTTGGTTTGGACCCACGCATGCAACTCAAATGATGCCTGCAGTTGCGTGTAGCCGATGGCCTTTCTCCACTGCGCGACGTTGGTTCAACAAACTTGCTTAACCTAACCACGAAAGTCCCGTTGATTCGTATCCACATGTACCTCTTAAGTAAAACCCTCCGTTGCATGTAGCGTTCAGCCTATGAGGGCTCTCCCTTGGTTGATGTTGGCCGGGCTGGATGGCGGAACTTCAACGACTTGCTTTCCTTTCGCGGATTGTATTCCGAAGCAAACCACCGGGGAACAACTGATTCTGTTTACCAATCTTATGATCATCGATGTACAAGGGGAGGGAATAACAGAAATGGCTCAGGGGTCAGTCTATCTGCGGACCGTGGTGACTGTAATCTCCAAGCATTCCCATGTTCAGATACGAGGCATTTTACTAGGGCTCTGGCTTGTTCCAAGGGCTGAATTCCAACACCTCAATTCCCGTGAATCCTGTGTGAAGTCGCTTGTTTTTCTTTTCTCTTCGTCTGCAGCTTTGGTGATAAAGTGTTCTTGAACTCTCCGTCTCGGGAGCGCACTTCTGTTTCCTCAAACACATCGATGGTTTACCATGGCGTTAGATCCCCTCATCAAAGCCGCGTTCGGGTCACCGCCTGAAGGTATTGACCTTACGGAGAACCAAGCCACCAAAAATAATGCTATTGTTATCATCCTTCTCTCAATTGCCACCTTTTCTGTTGCCGGCCGTCTGATCGCCCGTGGCAAGTATGGTCCGGGTCTCAGCCTCGATGATTACGCCATTGTCGTAGCCTTATTGTTCGTGGCCGCGACGGCCGGAATGGTTATAGCCAGTAGGTTCAAAGAGTCTTCAGAGAGACACTACACCGATGCTACTGAGCTCTGAAGGATAATGACGAACTGCAGTCGGTCAAGCTGGGGCTGGTCGCCACGTTTGGGCCCTTAGCGTTGATGATCTCGTTCAGACTTCAAAGGTAAGTGTTAAGACTAGCTCGATCTCAACTGCGTCCTAACAATTGTAGCTGCTATATATCTATAGCTTTGTTTTCTGCACCGCGGTGCTCACCACCAAGATCTCGATTCTCCTATTCTACTGGCGTGTCTTCATGGGAAACATGCTCTCCTTTCGGTTTTCGATTTGGACAGGTGCCTTTCTCGTCGGTTCATACCCTGTCTACTTCATGATCACGATGGGGGTCTGTTGTAGTCCTCTTTCACACTACTGGACTCAATTCAAGGGCACTACCGGTACGTGTATAAACGTCGGTCGCTTCTTCTTTATCCTGGCCATTATCAATCTCATCACAGATGTGATACTTCTGGTCATTCCTGTACCCGAGATCCTCAAACTCCAAATGAGAAAGGACAAGAAGATTGCAGTTTGTGGCATTCTCGGCTTAGGAGGCTTGTAAGTTATCAGCAAAGCAGTCTTGGGTATACTTCACTGACTCACTCGCCAGCGTCTGTATCGCTAGTGCTGTTCGCGTCCACTACCTCAACGTCTTTTCGACGGCAACAGACGTAACATGGATGATGGGTCCTGTAGCCATATGGTCATCTGTTGAACCTTCTGTGGGCATATTTTCTGCTTGCCTTCCTAGTTTCAAACCATTGCTCAGGGCTTTGCGAGGAAAACACGTGCACTCCAGCGGTTCGGATGGCAAAGATTCAGCTTACCCACTGGGTTCGAGAGGTGGACCTCGGAGTACGAAACCCAGATTGAGGTTGGATGACGAAGTTGCCTTACAGAGTCGGGCAATTGGTGGCGGAGGTAGTGGAAGTGTACATAGCGGAACTGACAGTGAATTTGGATGCCATATCCATGTACGGCTGACCAGTCAAGACTCGCGAGACCAAGTCAGCTGTGACCAAAACTCTGATATGGTCAACACGTCACTGCCTTACTAAGACAAACGACGCGTTTAAAAGTGCAACATCGGCATATTTTCTCCCTCAATCCATTCGAAACTGCATCTCCGGAAACCCCCAACGAGGAAACATCTTTTTGGACTGAATTACCACCCCCGCTCGACATGGCAACTCCAGCTGATTATTCGGTTGACCCCTCAACTAACCCGGCTTCTTGGCCGACCCCGCATCAAACTGTCGAGCAGGCAAATATCAGCAAAGTTAATGTTGACTTCATTAACACATACACGATCGGCGACTCAGATTTTCGCAACCTGTGCATCGGCACCGACGGACACATTCCTGTCTTACGGCAGGTACATAGGCACGTAATCCGCGGTCTTTATCAACTGATCAGCCTCAATATTACGGAGTACTCGTGCGTGGTGGTCATGTCAACGGGCAAGACGCGGAGCGAATTATCGGAAGATGGTTTTCCGTGGGACAAGGAGGACTCTCAGCCTGAAGCAGCGCCGGAACCAATTTCAATGACCACTCCAGTATTATACTCTGTCAACCTTTCGATCCATTCCGACACGATTAGATGGCCGAACGAGACCACAGGGTACATCGACATTAGCAAGGTTGACATAATCTACGTTAACATGAACGGCGATTCGGATTTTCACATACTACGCGCTGGAACCAATGAAGACGTTCACCATATCGTGGCGCAGGTTACTAAACATCTGGCTCGTGGTATCTACCATTTAATCAGCCTTAACGCAACGGAGCACTCGTGCGTGGTGGTCATATCAACGGGAAAGAAGAGAAGTGAACTGTCAGAAGGGGGCTTTCCGTGGGACAGCAGAATAGACCATCGGCCTGGAGTTGGGTCGAAATGATATGTTGTGTGTTTGGATCTGAAACAGTTTCGACATGGCATATGCTGGAAGTCTGCTTTGCAACACAAATCAGTTGCATACCTAGTTAAGTACTAAAAAGAAAGCAATCAACATTCGCCTCACAATCTTGATTCCGACTCTGTACTGATTGGCTCCTTTGTTGAGTTTTTCGTTGATTCTTGACGGGGCCTTGATTCAGCAGTCAGTCTTTTGAGTAAGTAGGTCATCTCCCAGCGCTACCCGTAACTCTGCGCGTTACTGCCCCTTGCTCGAAAGAATCAAGCCACTTTCTGCATAGATGGCTCCTACTTGATTCTTTGCTTTTTGATCAGCCACACTAGACATCTCCACAATCATCTCCAGGATCGAATAATTACAAGTCTGAACTTAGTATCCTTAACCAAAAGGCGGTCACCTTCATGTTCTTTGGTTCTGTTTCGATGACGCGGGCTGCTTCCTGAGTTCCCAAGGCACTCGATGGGAAATAAAAGATGTGAGATGGCGTAGAGGTTTTTGAAGTAGACAATTTCAGGCTTACCAAAGTAAACACACTTTCAGAATTGAAGCAGCAACCACACACAGTCTTTCGATTCTGGTAGGTAAACCTCCAAAACCCCAGATGCTCTTCCTTTGAGACTTGAGTGTGTTTGCCACATACCTTAGCCCTCAGGGAAGCCTACATGAGTGGTGGAATCAATATTTGGTGGCGTTTACCAAGGCTGGGCAAACTATGTCTTGTCTTGGCCTTCGGCCTAAGTCGACCGAGGTGTGCCTTGACCTGACGATAAATGGAACTCGAGGGATTCCTCCTCATCTCCAACTTGCGTAGGTACCTCGGTTTCATGTCTACATCCGACTAACAATGAGGACCTTTGAGAGAGCAGAATCAAGTGTCGCAGCTGCTTCGATGCTGTCACGCATGTAGAGGACACCGATATTGCTGAGTCGGCTGTGTCCGAGTAAGGTACTAAGTACCTAATGAAATGACAAAGTGTCACGGTCTGCTCAGACCATGTGCCAGCGTGCGGATAACAGGTTGCAGTCACCGTCAGAAAAAGCGGGGAATGAACCAGAACTTCGGAAGTGTCACCTCCACCCCGCGTTACCCCAGCAAAAGTCCCCAGACGGAGGGCGCATCAGGCCAATAGAGTCGCCTAGTAATAAGAGTTCAGTCAGTCGTTGCCCGCCTTTTGTTTCGCATCGACTTTGATCCCACCTCACATCGAACTAAGTAACACATGATAAGCTTAACTAAGAACACCGCACGTAAAATATATCATTACTCACCAAATCTTCAACACTTTCGGGGTTCATACAATAATTACCGGGCTATCAGGTAGCGACAGATGTGGGCTAATCCATATCAAGTGTGTGAATCCGATGTGAAATTGCAGCTGCGGCGCAAGCGGCTTGGGAGCCAAGGGAGCCAAGGAGCCAAGACTACCTGGGCACTGCACTGGGCAGGCCCGACAGAGAGAGAACAAAGTTGGATTCGCTGAATCTCAAGACGAACCGACATCAAATGACTGGGCAATGTACGGATAGCCCTTACGAGTCCGAGCAGAGCTCATGTACGAATAGTAGTATGTCGTTTCTGACTGCATTTTCCAGGTTCCCTACCTACACATGCCTTAATCGTAGCTCGGGACAGTACGAGACTCTAATCGCTTTTTGTGAACTTCAACGACTGTACTCCTATGCTTTTGTTCAGTTGCTGCGTGCAGCCGATACCTAGGCCCAGTTATACAAGACCATCAGCTTTTAGGTAACAGTGCATTGAGCATGCAGTGGTTCATCCAGACACGAGCAAGCTGCAACTCGCTACATCAAGAGCAGATTGAAATGAGAGGATGAGATCCTAGCAATCTTTTCTGCATCAACGAGGCACCTGATCCACCGGCTCAAAGGAGCTCCTCCCCTAGCCATTTAGTCCCGCGCTCGGTCGAATGATACCCCAGGATATTGGGCTCTTTCCCCGCTTCGTCTACGCATTCCCCAAAGAGTCGGTTGTCAACCCCATGGGGGCTGTGGGGGAAAATTGAGTTCACGCAATCCAGACTCGGGGTTGAACTTGCGCGAATACCCCAGCGTTGGGGCAGGTGGTTGGAGGATACTCCTTGGCATCTTGGCAACCAGGGAACCGGTCCGGACAATGGTATTCGCACCTGCAAATGCGCGAGTGCTTATCTTCTCAATGTTCCGCTCTTCTGTTTCCAGCAAGTCTCCTGTCTTCCCTCCCAATATCACCTCTCACTGTCATTTTCCCAGCAATCCTTAGCATACTAGACAACTGGAGCGTCAGGATGACCGACAACGAAAAGGGGCTGCCCGAAACCTTGGCCAAGGCCAGGTCCCGCTCTGTCGATCATGCAGAATACGGCACATACACTCCCGATATTGCTCTTATCCAAGCTGCCGCAGCCGCCAGCGAAGAAGAGACCAGGCTGCCTCGCAAGGAGCTCGTTTCACGATATCTGCCAGCTGCCATCTACAGCATGCTCCTTAGTATGGCCCTGATCATGGAGGGAATGGACGTTGGTCTCGTCAACAACTTTTTTGGACAAAAGGCGTATCTGAGGAGGTTCGGTTGGCCAGACGCCAATGGCAAGCAACACATCCCGACATCATGGCAGGCTGCCATCGGCAATGGCAACAATTTGGGAAGCATCATCGGACTGCTTTTGAACGGCTGGCTTCAGTCTCGCTATGGCTCTCGACGGGTCTACATGGGTGCCATGGCACTCATGGGCGGGACAATCTTTTCATTGTTCTTCGCAGTCAACGTCCAAATGCTTTTCGCCGCCAACATCCTGTGCGGCATTCCCTGGGGTATCTTTCAGACTCTCACCACTGCATACGCTGCCGAGATTTGCCCTGCTGCTATGCGAGGATACCTCACCGCATGGGTTTCCATGTGTTGGGGATGTGGCTCCTTCCTCGCCGCCGGTGTTCTCCGTGGTTCACTGGGACTTCAAGGAGACTTGGCATGGAAGATACCTTACGCTCTCCAATGGGTTTGGGTGGTGCCTCTATTCACTGTTGGCTTCTTTGCCCCGGAAAGCCCATGGTACCTCGTTCGCCGAGGTCGCATCGAAGAAGCCGAGAAGTCGCTACGTCGTCTTGCACGCAAGAACTTCTATACTGAGCAGACCATGGCTCAAACATTGGCCCTCATGAGACACACTAACGAAATGGAAAAGATTGAGTCAGCTGGCGCCAGTTACCGCGATTGTTTCCATGGAACCAACTTGCGCCGCACAGGCATCGTGGCCATGGCCTGGCTTATTCAGATTCTCAATGGCCAGGCTATCTGCGCCTACGCCACCATCTTCTTGCAATCAGCCGGTATGCCAGAGGTCCGAGCATTTGACTTCAGCATGGGTATCCAGTCAGGCAATATTGTGGGCACCGCCATTGCCATTTCCCTGATGGGCAGAGTCGGGCGTCGCGTCTTCTTCTTCTGGGGTTCCTCAATCATCGGTCTCCTCATGCTCGTCATCGGCATCCTAGGCTTCATTCCAGGGAAGACCAATGTTGCTCTGGCTGTGGCTGTCGTCATGATCATTGTCAACCTGACGTTCAAACTGTCGCTGGGCCCGACAACATACACTATAGTGGGCGAGATGTCCTCCAGTCGTGTGCGAGCTCAGACCATTGTTCTGGGGCGCGCTATCTACGTCGTTGGCCAAATCGTCGTACAGCAGCTCAACCCTCGCATGCTGAACTCTAGCAGTGATTCTTGGAACTGGGGTGCGAAGACTGGCTTGTTCTACTTCGGACTTTGCTGCCTTTGGGCTGTACTTATCTTCTTCTTCCTCCCTGAGACTAAGAACCGCACTTTCGCAGAGCTCGACTACTTGTTCCAGAAGAGGACTCCGGCTCGCCAATTCGCGACCACACCCGTTGATTGTAGGTCAAACTCTTCTCATACTTTCAGTTCACTTAGACTTCAAATTCCTCCCTTCATGAGTTGCCTACAATTGCACCTGCTAACGCATCTCATCGTGAAGTATTCGAATTGACCGGAGGCGATACCAGCGCCAAGAAGCTCGACGATGACGACCTCAACAAGAACGTCAGTGAGCTGCACGAGAAGCGGATCTAGATCATAATTCACGAGGATACTATCTGTCAGACTGTCACTCATGTATATTGATAAGGTGGATCCGTAGTGGACTGTTGAATAAATCCCCCAATTTGACGTGATGCCATTCGATTGTTCGCCCATCTCTCAGGGGTTGCCTTCACGTTGGCTAGGCCGCGACCAATCTTGTTGTATCATCTTGCTCTTCTAGGTAATGCATCCATAATCGCTGATTTGACACATTGGCTCAACATAATAGCGGCCAGCGGCGGTTCACCCTACAAACGTCTACCCATGTTGAGCTCCGTGACGTGTTTGCATCCGCATCCTGGTGCCTCCAAACCTCACACAAAACTTCACTAGACACACAATAGCCTTTCCATCCTGACTTAGTGTATGCTCTGTTTAGCCAAGAGCTGAACTGCGCCCTTCTCTCTGGTTTCGTCGCTTCTGCACCTGCAATGAAAGCTGGCCAAGCTGTGCCTGGCCCGAGCAACTTATTCCGACTCAAAGCATCGTCAAATCCTTGCAATGCCTCCATCACCTCATCGACACTTTCTTGAAGCAGCATAGGATTGATGTTTCGAATCCTGCGATAGAAGAATATCATCAAGGCCGGGCGTAGTGCCCGCACCATATGTACGTGAGGCTTCTCGGTATTCAAATCTTGCTCGTACTGTCCGTGGTATCTTGCTTTGAAGGCACACACAGCTTCTTCTAGATAGGATGCTTTTGGTTGTAGTGCTGCCATTTTGATGGCGTCAAGTTGGCTTTCATTTGGCGCAAGACGGTCCATAACATTAGCTAGTCGCGTAATCTGGGACACAAGTCTCAGCCAGGTTTCGGGCACGCCGTATATCTGCATATACATGTCTTCCTGATCCTGTAGCGAAGTTGCCAGATGTATGTCTTTGTTCGTACCCGTCATCTCGTCGTTGATGATATTGCCGGGAGTGGTTTCGGGATGAAGCTGGAGCGGTTCCAAGTGAAGGAAGTTATCCAGGGTAATTTCTGGGTAAACCTTTCTCAGTTCCTCCGCGCTTGAGATTTTTGGCCTGAGCGACGCTATTCCAGCTTGAGACTGATCGTGAGCAGGAACATGGTCTTGAGCGGTGACCCAACCATTGTTGATGCCAATTGGATCGAGTACTGGTGCTTCATCGTGGAAAGTTTTAGTGCTTTCCGAGACTATTCTCATCCAGGCATAAATATTGTGTAACAGTCGTGCTCGACGTGATAACTTTGACTTTTGCAACCCGCGAGTACGGATTAACCTCTCCATTTCTACGAGATATCGACATGTATCTTGTTCGTTACCAGACAACAACTAAGGTAATCGGAGTTAGTAGAAGCTCGATATAAAAAGAAAATACTTACAGCGGTTGCAAGGATAGCTGCGGCGGCCATCAGTTGTTCTTTGTACTTGGCCTTCTTTGGGGCGGCAGACTCCTCCTCCAAGCTAAGCTTCAGGTGGAATTTGGCGCATTCATATGTCCTCTCAGATAGAGATTTCCAGTACCGTTCGGGCTTCTTCATTTCTGGGAAGTTCTCTGAGTTGAGTGAAAGGTGAAATGCTGATACCGCGATGAGGGCGTAAAGGTTCGACAAGTTGGCGTGTCGAATATCATGACTGGGTAGTTCAAGAATAGTAAGCTGACTCAGTGTGACGATGGCGGAAGGAAAATTTAAAATCCTCCATGCAGACTTCTCGTTGATCGGTAGCGAGCCCATTTGATTTATGACTTCATCGTAAAAGTGTTTCAAAAGTAGCGGAGCATCCGCAATTAGATCATCGTTCAGCTCCGGAAAGACACTAGGCCGTACACTGCTGGACCCTCGAATTTCCGTCATCTGCTGGTTGATAGTTTCACGGATTGTCCAATCGTCTAGGATAGCGGGTGGTCCTTGGTTGGAACATGGGACTTCGTTAATAGAGTAGCTCGGAAGGGGAGAATGGTTCTCTTCGGCATTCCAGGTGAACAAGTCCCCCCATTGAAGGACATCTAGAGAGCTCGAGAGAAGCTCGTCAAGAGCGTCAGACACGGTGAGGTCGTTCACAATGAGACCGCAGCTTCCGGCGCCATCGGCCGTTGCGTAATCAGTAGCCCGTATAGACTTGCCCAGGTTCGATGGTGAGACGGTGCCTTCCGAGGAAGACAGGTTGTCGCATTTGTCGATAGCGTGTTCCTCCATCACTGGGGTGCTAGTCTTTGCACCTAGACCGACTTCAGACTCTCCGTCTGGAACTTGATATACTCCATGAAACACGTTGAAAGGACCAATGGCAATTTCCACTTCCTCCCTGGATTCCACTGATTTGGCCTCGTTCTCGATTTTAAGAATGGCTTCGTTGACAGTGGAAGGCAAGCTTGCAACGAGAGAAGTACTCATCACCTGTCTCAAATCATCTGTTCTCCTTCCTAGTCAGCTTCACAATAGCAATGTTGAGGTCATAACGGCCCTCAGACTCACCAGAATATAGGTGACGCCGAGAATACCGTGCAGCTTCGTTTGCAGGAGGAACCGCCGTGCTCAAGTCGTCTGAACCGTTTACTAGGACCCAGCGAAGAACCGGTTTGAAATCGCACTTCAAGCCTGAGATGCAACATCGTTTACACCTTGGTGTGGTCTGGTCGCATTTCAAGTGACGTTTCCTGCATGTCTTGCATCCTTCAAAAGAATGTGCGCTCCTGGATCTCGACGTGTGCATGATGCAATCAGTACTATACGGATCAGGCAATGCCGTCGACCGCTAAAGGATGTACCGCGAGCGGCTGTTCGTCAGAAAGCAAATAGCAAAGGTATGGAACAGCGATAAGAAAATACCAGTTTGGGGACATCCTCCGGCGTTTATGAAGCAAGACGGACAGCATGGATTCCGGGGTGTTTGGTTATCTATTTTACACCTTGATTTCACCGGCTAATTAGGTCCGTAACATGCGTAACATGAGCAAGCTTCCGCGGGAGCAACTGGCAACAAGTGCGATGCTTTTCGTTAGTTGCTGCCCCAATCGCAACTGCACCGCTCGTCAAGATAAAAAGATTGATCAATGAAATGCGAGGGACAATCGTGGACCGTTGTAATCATTTTCTCATTTCGTACAGAATCGGGACTAACGTTCAGCAACTTTGCCTTTGAGATTTTCAAACAATCCTGACGATACAGTACATTACATGGAACAAGAGGACATAGGCCAGATTGCTTGTGACTATTCCGTGGGGTCTAGGCTAAACTGGAAAGTGACCCCGGAAGCTATCGCTGGATTGGCTACGTCAAACCAGCTCCACACACCCGAGAGGGCCGCATCCTTAAAATCTCGGCAGCTTTGCTCTGTTTTCCAAGCAGAGCCTATGGTCGTCTAAACAACCCTCGCTGCGATATCAGCTAGCCAAATAGCTTCGCAATTCTCCGGTTGTTCCACTCCCATGAAGTAACATCGTCATAGTGGCATGGGGTAGCTTCGGTGACAAACTCCTTCATGGGAAGCAGGGATGCAAGGCGATTCGGCTTGACGAAATACGCAATGGAGTATCGTTCGGGAATCTCAATATTGTCGCCAGCTTTGATTGCCGGTGGATACGTGACACGATGGCAAGCAGCACGGAACGTGTCATTCGTCAGACGTTGAAGAGAGTCGCCAATGTTAAGGATGATGTCGGTGGGTGCCAAGGATTCCACGCTTCGGAACACTCCAGGCTCGTTCTGGTCCTCCACTTGAAGACCTCCCACGGAGTCTTGAAAAAGCATGGTGATCGTTCCAAAATCGGTGTGCTCGGCAATGCGCGTCGCGGTACCGTCCGCAAGTTCCGTGGCCGGAATCGCCGGATAATGAAGAAGACGAAACTCGTTCTCCGCACGATTATGAAGTGCCCTCAGGTAGTCTTCCGAAACACCGAGAGCAATCGCAAGAGCGGAGAGAAGATGCAGTTCGGTTTTGTAAGCTTTTTCGTAGAAGTATTCCATGAACTTCCGGAATCCAGGAAGACTCTCTTCAGGTACCCAAAGATTATCCACAAGATCGTCGTGCGAACTGCCCATGTCCAGAGTCTCCTTAATAACTGATGTTAGTTAACTGAGCATATGGCGTCTCCTGTCTCGCGGTATGGGGTACCTTTATATCGCGGGTCTTGCCTGGGCCTAGTCCCTTCTCGTAGCCACTGATATTTGCAACATTCTCTTGACCAACAAAGCTATACCCTCTGTTCGGATTGGCTTGAGGCGGGTGCTTGGCTTTCATCTTTTCCTCCAGAGGCAAAGCAAAGAATTTTCGACTCTATTGCCACGGTCAGCCTTCATGTCATCTACTCCATATACTTCGAACATACCATATCGAATAGTTTATGGATATCCTCTGCGGGTATATTGTGATTTTGAATCTTGACGCCGCCCCGCGACTTGAGCAACCGAAGTAGCTCGTTGCAAAATTGCCGCTTCTGCTCCTCTGTTCCAAAGAACAGAGACATGTCGAGTGTAGCACCTTTGTCGTCCATGACTGATGGTATAAGCTAGGCTTGGGATACACGTCAGTTTGAGAAGTTTAGGCTGGCTTGGAGGTTGATCTAGTCTGACCGATTTGGATGAGGTGAAAGGAAGTAAGTTCGACTGGAAACATCGAGCTATTATATACTGTTTCTCTATACACAGTATCGAAGTGATATCTAGGTCTTCATAGCCATGTTTTCTATTTCGTTAAGTAAAGCCGAGTCAACTGCCCACACAAGGGGCCATGTCAGAGTTGCAGGTAAGTGTCTAAATTCACCTATACTTCAGGCGAAAGATGGGCAAATATCCTACGAAATGACTTTGCCATCTTGTTAGGTTGCAGCTAGAATTTGCCTATCAGTCCCGGGCGTCAATCAACAAATGCAAGAGAAGCCGATGTTGGACTACCTTGAGTGTCGGAAACAGCGTTTTGGTCGTTCACTTGCAACCCATTTTGGGATACCTTACCTCAGTAAAGTGGGCCTGATCGCAGACGTACCTTAGCTAGCTGGGCAGGAGAACCCGGGCCCCGCAGGCCGGCCAGTCCGATAAGGCGTAAAATGCGGCAAGTGTGCCCGACATGGAATTCATCTTCCCCCAAATCTCCCGTAGATTGCCATGTGCGACACTTGGTCCCTTCCCATGAGGGCTATGTTCAAATCTGTGTTGTTCCAATATATCCGATAAGCTACACCCCATTCGCCCTTCGCAAGTTCACAACAACAACATTCACAGTGTGTCGCTGTCATAACCAGCAAAAACATGTCCATATGCAACCAAAAGTTGTGAACAATATGTATTGCTCCGAGATTAGAACAGCAATTCGATCAGGTCTTTAAAATGACGATGGTACCTCGCGACCATCAGAGATAATCCAACCCTATTCACGAACTAGCGTCCTAGGCGACGTCATTGCCGAACGAGAAATGAGGGAGCGACATTGGAAAGATATTGGTGAAGAACCACAGAGCTAGGTCTCGTTCAAGATTTATGGGAGTTAAAGCTCTCCAACTATAGTCCAGTTCTCTAAGAGTACCAGGCTTCAAATATTAAGCTAGCTGCTTATTTTACTAGACGCATCAAAAGCATAACTACTCTCGAAAATGTATACTCAACATTGGAGACTGAAAGACTAGCTTTTCATCGTTGCCAAGGCCATAGACCTTCAAGTATTCACTAATCAGAAACTATCATATCAATTGAAGTAGCCTTAGAGATAAGCCCACTGTGAATGCAATGGGTTGGAATGTTTCGTACATTTGCGTGATTGACAGGCGGGAGCTAAGCGTGGCATGATCTGAAAGGAACCGCCTAGTTACGTCATCCAGCGATTGTCGCAAGCCAAGCAGTCGTGTACGATGAGTCGATGACTTATTTGTCTTAACTGCAAGATTCTCGATTTGAAGGAATCCTAGTCAGCGTCAATGTTGTTGCGTAGCGTGTGTATGCTCATTTGGCACGTAAGGTGGCTCTGCCTTGCCAGATTTATCAAGCTGCATTTCGCTGAGGTGGTCCTGAGTAAGCAACAGCAGTTTGTGATCTAGTTGATGCACCCAGACTAAGCTCGGAACCCGGGATAGGGTTCGTATTCCCAATGCTTCCTTACCCAATCTTCAATAATCCATTTAAGAGGAATGGTCAAGCATAAAATTTCATGTCATGTCAACTAATTTCTTTTGTCACCTTATGTCTAGGAAGACATGTCGTGGTTCCGTAAGACAGCGTGATAGCTGAAGAGACTTGGACTCTATTAGTACCCTGGGGTTTGGAGTCTGAAATTGCAGCTACAGGTTGTCAGCGTCGCTTAGCTATGACAAGCCTTCACGCGTCTTCTATCTGGCTCGTCTCACATAGATTCCTGAATATTTCGGGGGGTCCGGGGTGCTCATGCTATTAACAGATTTGTGAAGAGTGGCGGAAGCCCTGATACGAGGCGGCACATCGTGCACAATGGAAGTCCGCTTCCTGCGTTCTCCCTTGATGTGTAGGTTCACTATTACTGGTCTTGTGATGCGTGATTATGGCTGCAAGACGGCCCGGAATGTAACATCTCGTAAAACGAGGCCCGCATTTGCATGTCTTTGATCGTAGATTCGGTTACTGCAGTTGAGGGCCTCTACCCTGTGATGTCTCCCTTCTAAAAAGATAATGGTCCATGATTAGGCTGATGAAGTTTTCGGAGGAATATTTAATGACTTGATTTCCCCGTCACTCAACTCATCCTCAACATCCCACTATCGGCATTCATTACTTCCGCAACTTCCCACAATTTACTCGAAGCTCTGTAGGTGTAATCCTATATCAAACGATATCACTTTCCGCGAAAGCTACTAACACGGAGCTAGGACACAATGCGTATCGCAACTGTCACACTCATCGCTCTCGGATCAGTCGCTGTGGCTGCCCCGGCTCCCCAGGCTGATTTCCCTCCGGTGGAGGATGTCTTGATCCTCGACTTCTCCACCCGACACCAGCCCGATGGGGCAGTAGACAGTGTCGGCCTTCACATTACCGCTCATGGTGCCGACAATCTTTATTGCGGGCTTACCGGGGAGGTTCTTCTTGGAGAAAAATATGCTTGCGGCAGTAGCAAATACAGCTTTGCCCTTGTAAAGGGAGTCTATGACACCTAGGGTGTTCGCATTTATCACCGCTGGGGTGTTGCGTAAGTTTCCCTGGTTCATTTCGTCTTCTTCTATACTATTAACTGACTTGAAGTTCAGGAGCGGCGCCTCTGGCTACAGAGATGTCCCCACGTACTGCCACGCGGGTCCTTTGGGCTCTACAGTCTGCACCAGCCAGGGACCTGTCAGCCTGTACATTGATGCTGTGCCCAAAGACTGGTAAAATGCTAGTAGGAACAAGTCTGTCTTAGGATCTCAGATTGTTTGTTAAGGGAAATTCCACGCGATTTCTTCAAATCACAAATCTATCATAAGCCCTCATTTGGGTTACCTGTATGACAAGACACCGGACACTGCTCCCGCCTGTTCTTCCAGATATCACACTGCATCAATTGACTGAGAATCTTTATCTTGAATCCCATAGATAGTTTGTTGATAAAAATTCGTGACAAAGTTTCTTAGCAAGACGTCCCTTTTCCAGTACATATCGGGATTCTGGATTCCGACCCGTACCTAGAGACGTCACTCACAATATCAGGTAATTAGATGTGTCTTAATGATTGAGATTGTATGAGATTTTACATGTCTCAAGGGCGAAGAGAAAAAGCAGACTATTTATCAGTATCTTTGCAGAATCATGCCAATGATCTCTATGGTTGCCTTCGCCATTTTGGAACAGCTGTGAGCTGCTTCAAAATTTGACCATCAAATACCAGCTCGAAGATACGGGGAACTCAGGCCTCCTCCTCGATGAATGCTGGTTTACGTTCGTCTGCTTCCAATTCATACATGGTCTTGCTTTTCACGGCTGCTTCAGAAAACGCCGCTGCGTTGTTTTGCATCTGATCTCCTTGCTTTCAACTGTCGCCCAGTTACCGTCGACACTCAGTCGTTGATATGCCAAATCCCTCACTGACGTGTTGTTGAAGTTTAGAACGTACCCACCATCTCGCCGTCTTGAGGGTTCAATGGAGGTTGCCTGAGCGGCACCAGGGAGAGAAACTACTCTGTTTGTTCCCTCCATAAGATCAAACGAGGCCCCAGTTCTTGACATGACGCGAACGTCAAACCGGGCACCGGGGCTTCGGTCTTTGGAGCAACTAACTTGGAAGTTGATCGGGTATGTGTCTTTGGGGAGGGCTTGGTCAAGCGGTGTCAGACTCATGCTGATGGCATCATCAGAGCCAATAAAGATTGCTGAATCATTGAGGCTCATGCGTGTGGTGAAGATAGAGCGGTCCCTCGTTGTGTCATTACGTGCATGATGCACATAGAAAAGCTCTGTGCCATCCAAACTTTTCCTGGTGACCTCTTGCGCGCCAAATTTGATTCTGATGTCTGGAGGAGGCGATGCCACGATACTTCCGTGGCCGGTTGAGTAGATAGGGAACTCTCCGTCGGGCTTTTGGGAAAGAACAGGGTTCTTTGACGATTTCTTGAACGGCCCTAGCGGTGATTCTGCCGTTGCAAACCCAACACCGTAATTGGAAGCTTCGTAGTTGTTCGCACTATACGTCAGCATATAAACCGACTTGTCGTCACTGCCGTTTCGTGTGATAATTGTGCTGCCTTCCGACCAGCGGCGGTTCTTCTTCGTGCCATTGAACTTGACATAATCATCCACGTGGTAATTCTCCCAATCTTGCGGATCAGCGCCGTAGGAGATTACTGTCTTCCAACCGTCTTTGCGGGGAGGATCTCCAATCTCGCCAGTGCCGTTGTAGGAGGTGATGTTCGACGGCAATTCGGTGGCATTGTTCGCGTGTAGGTTTATTTGAGAGGACGCAATCTCAGGCATGGTTCGTGCAAACGGGTCATCCCACCATTTTCGGTCCAGCTCAACCACGATGATGTTGGATTCTTCGATATATTTGCCCAGAGTACTGTCCCAATTCCAATTTCGGTAGGCATTTCGTGAGGTATACAAGTAAATCCGGCCGTCGTTGTCGAAGAAAATGTTGGGATCTATGGTAGGTATGTATGTGCCCTTTGGCGCAGTTTTACCTTGGGCCAGACTTTCTGGCGGCAGCATTTGCTGATCATCCATGACCAGGTTGATGTCGTGATAATCCGGATCGTAGGGATAGTAGCCGATTGGCTCTGATCGAATCTCGTTGAAAGGCCCTGTAGGCGAGCGGGAGACGGCGATTCCTAGCTTGGAAGGCTCTTCGAACTTGGAATATCGAAAATGGTCTTTGGCCAGATCTTCCCGCAAACGACCAGCGAAAATGAAAAAGTACCATCCGGTTTTCTCGTTGTAGTAGGTTTCAGGGGCCCAGTACCAATCTCGGGCCCAGCAAGCTTGACCACCGTCAATCTGTTTCATCTGATCATCGTAACAAGCTTTTAAGACGCCTCCTGGATGTTTGCTCCATGTCGAAAGGTCAGGGCTAATGTAAACTGCAAAGTGGTACCCTTCATCAGCCCCCTCGGTGGAATACGCATAGTACTGGCCCTTTTCAGAGTCGTAAAAGACGTAAGGGTCCGCGGCTGCATGGCGCGCCGAGTTGTAGAACTTGGGGCTTTGGTCATCTCCCTTGTTTGAGTCGGCGATGACGGCAAGTGATAGCAGCGATGCCACAAGTAGAGCAGCAATGCGCCGCATATCGACAAGAGGGTTCGGGGCTTTGAGCCACTGGAATCTTCGGACAACAATCGACTGAGAAGATGGGCATTTCTCCAGGAGATCATAGCCATCCTCTTATACCGCTCTCCCTCGGCGCTCTGCTCGCCCCTCTTTCGAATGCGACATGCGACGAGTGCATCTTAAAAGCCCGAGCAACAGGTTACGGCAATCCTTCATCCCATCGGAAGAGTGAACCCCTTGTCCATTCTGTTGTAAACAAGGCGCGAGCCTCCCAAAGGTCCACAATTTCCCCTCACATTCGTTGGTGCTGCTAGTTGGGTGCGTCATCCCTCGCCCTGGGGTACACAACTTTTCTGGTTTGGTCCCTCCGGGATGAGGTTAATGGAGGGACGGGGTAGTATCTAAGTACTGTGAGCGCTAGCGAGGAGGACTCCAATTGTACAATCTAATTTACTCTCAATAGCAGAGTAAGCCTGGCAAGCTTGGCAATGTCATTCGAAGGCTTCGGCCTAAACTTTGTTCCTCTATATGTCGTTCACGAGCTGGAACTTAGAAGCCAGCAAATCTAAACCTTGCCTAACAACTTCGGATGTTATCGAGCCGAACCGTTCGAGGAGATCAGAGGACTTTGGGAGAGAGAAAGTATGGGCACATCCTGGGACGCGCAATGCGTACAAGGCCCAAGGAAGTGTATCATTGACAACACTACCATGTCACTCGAATCACAAAGCATTCGGTCATGACGGGCCCTGATGGAAATTTTAGTGTTGATCTCATGACAGCACCCAGGCCGGGTGATCTCTCCCCGTTGGAGCGCTTCCCGTTGACCCCGCATCTTAAGCAACTTCTCCACCCACAGTTGGTTCAAATGCTGCTTACCTCGTCGAAGGCTCTGGTGGTTGTCTTGATACTCGCAAGATTTTCAAGGCCCGCGATTGGAACATGCTTTTCTTCTATTCCTGCCAGGCTCTTCTCGGTAGCCGCTTTGATTTTAAGTTACCTATTCGTAGCAATACGTCTTGTGAGACTGTCATCCTGAAACTAAAACTATTCATTTTTGACATATTGAGCTGGAAAGAGCCGCAACATCCATCATGTCTACCTATTCTTGTCTCCTAACACGGGAATCAGCCATTTGTGAATACAACTTGCCAAAACGGCACTGGGTAAATGTGAGAGGCCACAAGGGGATGCGGCGTTTGTGTCCGAAATTGTTGAAGCCGTCGACTTCCATCGTGATGAATTCAGGTAGAGCATTGGGTAGATGAATCGAAGCAGGTAATGAGGTCTTCATCACGACCGATCTCGGCCTTCTCGTAAGTCCTCCCCCGCGATGGGCCAGGGAATGCGGGGTTCAGCCATCCCACACTTAGGTCCGCTATGCGGGGGGTGGGGCCTAGCTGATTATCGTACCAGCCACCACCTGTCCGCAAGCCTGAAATCATTCTCAGCGCACACGACGCATGATATCTTTGCCGTACGCCAATAGTTGGAGATTCAGCTGGACTTATATCCGACGCAGGGTAAACGCAGTTCCGCTCTTGCGTCAAGCCGGATATTCAATGTCGCGGACTCTGATATATAGAGACTGAGGTTTGCTCCATTCCAGCGTACAATCAGGGTGGAGCAAGGCTCCTGCGTCCGGTCATTGAGTGAATTCTGACTCGAAGCACTACCCAAGGTTCCGTCCTTGCCCACTTGACTTCGCATCGTGCACATTTCATACTTGCGAGTAGGACATTCGAAGTCCTTACCAATCACCAGTTGTCCAAACATGACGAGCCACCAAGGCGTAATCTCTTTTGCCATTATCGGCACCGGTCTGATTGGTCCGAGACATGCTAGGACAGTCGTTGAAAGCCCCGATGCAGAGCTTGTTGCAGTGGTCGATCCCGCGCCAGCTGGAGCTCAACTAGCAGCTGAGTTGAATGTAGCACACTACACTTCAGTCAGCGACCTTTTGCGGTCGGAGCATGTGCCTCAAGCTGCAATCGTTTGCACCCCAAACCACACGCACGTCGCCGTTTCGAAACAGCTTTCCTCGGGAGGCGTCCATGTGCTCGTCGAAAAGCCCATCAGCTCTGATATCCCGAGTGGCACCGAACTACTGAGTCATCTCCAAACCACTGAGGTCAAGACACTTGTGGGCCATCATCGGCGGTTCAATCCCTACATCATCAGTACAAAAAAGGTACTCGAGTCGGGAGTTCTAGGCAAGATTATAGCCATCAACGGACTCTGGACCACCTACAAGCCGGGCGATTACTTCGAGGCTCCTACCGAATGGAGGCAGGGAAAAGATGGAGGAGTTGTCTTGATCAATGCAATCCACGAAATCGACCTGCTTCATCATCTCTTGGGGCCGATTACAAGGGTCCATGCGGAAAAGACGACTTCGCAAAGAGGTCATGAAGCCGAAGAAGGTGCGGCGCTCACGATTCGATTCAAATCAGGCGTTGTCGGGACATTCCTTATCTCAGACAACGTGCCATCACCCTACAACTTTGAAGCGGGAACAGGCGAGAACCCTCTTATCCCCAAGACGGGACAGAACTTTTACCAGATATTTGGCTCCGATGGATCACTCAGCGTACCTGACTTGTCGATATGGTCATACAAGGGCACGAATAAGTCGTGGCATTCGGAGATGGCGAGAGAGAAGCTGGCGGTAGAAGATGGGGTTCCGTTTGAGCTGCAGCTTGCCCATTTCTGTCGTGTAATCCAAGGCAAAGAGTCACCCAGCTGCTCGCCGCAGGCAGGTCTTGGTGCACTGATTGTTTGCCAAGCAATCAAGGATGCATTGGAAGCAAACAGTACGATTGATATTCCGGACTATGATCTGTAGGTGAATTCGTAGTTTGAGTAGCTTGGGAGGAATAGATAATCCAGTAAAGCTTGAACAACAATGCCCGTTGCCCACACGAATTGCATGGCAAACTTTTGACCAGAGTAAAGCATGATGCCAAAGTAGCGGTTTTGCGCATGGTTAAGACGTCGTGGATCATTCATGTTTGTCTTTCTGGAAACTTGAGATGGAAAGCCAGTCAAGGAAGGATCGCAAATGGCGGGCCGCTGAATGGTTGCAGAATGTGGGTGGGGCCGGGCTCCATGGAAGGGCAGGTGGACGGATTGGCTCCTTTCCATTTCGGTCGGGGCCGCCTGCCGCCTGTTGTGAATGCGAAAGAGCCGATAAGGCAGGCGGCGTCCGGCTGCTTGCAGTCGTAAGGTACCTTAAGGTAAGTTACCTTACCTTAGCTGCCTGTGACGGTGGTGACATCAAAGCTGGGATGTCCCTTCCTTGGAAGACGAAAGACAAGCAAACTCAGGCAGGAACGGAGAGACCCCTTTGCGCTTAAGCCGTCTGTTTTTTTCCCCTTCGTTTCCCTCCGTTGCGCTTTCTCAACTTTCGCATTTCATTTTCTGATATCAGTCAGGCCTGTTCCTTCGGTCTCCCTTCGCTTCTTGTCCTTTCACGCCAGCACCAGTCATCTTGCATTGGGCTCAGTCCGTCACTTTAGCGCCAGCAACGGACCCCGCGATAATTGCCTTGCTTCGTCCACCAACTCTCTCCCTCCACTCTGCGTGTTTTGCCCCGCTCCACGAGAAAGCTATTCTGTCGCAATTGTCCTCCGCGAAACCAGAACAGACATACTACAAAGCTCCTTTCCCATCTCCAAGCGATTTTACAATCATGTCTTCAGCAGCTCCCCACGGCAGCAACAGTGCTTCCAGCACCAATGGCGTGGTGGACATCAAGAGTAGGTTCGCTGGGCTTACGCGGTTGTTCTCTTGCCATCCTTTGCTGACCGTTTGCGTAGATTTGGGTCACGTCGAAACCCCCAAAGTTGAAGGGACATGGACCGTCGAGAAGGCTCTTGAGATCTCTCCAGGCACCGCAGGACCTGCGGACGCCGGCTCACCGCTCCCTTACTTCCATCTGATTGAGCGCCTCAAGACAACCAAGCGGGAGGGTTGGCGCCGCTTTGGTATCGCGAGGTTGGTGTCCCACGTCGCAAATCATCGCAAGGTATATAGATGTCGATATTCGCTAATGCAAGGGCTTTGACAGAGGAGAATCCATCGCCGACCACATGTACCGCATGTCCCTTTTATCGATGCTCGCCCCGCCCGCTCTTGCGCCCCGTCTCGATCTCGCGCGATGCATGAAGATGTGCCTGATACACGACATGGCCGAGTCTCTGGTCGGAGACATCACACCCGTCGATGGCGTGGCGAAGCCCGAGAAGAACAGACGTGAGGCGGAGACGATGGACTATATCACCAAGAACCTTCTTGGCAGTGTCTACGGCGGTATCCCAGGTGCCGAGATTCGCGAGATCTGGCAAGAGTACGAGGACTCCCAGACCCTCAACAGCCACTACGTACACGATCTGGACAAGATGGAGCTGCTTCTCCAGATGATGGAGTATGAGAAGCGCGGGCAGGGCAAGCTTGACTTGGGCGAATTTGCATACGTCGCGACCAAGTTCACATTGCCCGAGACCAAGGAATGGGCGGACGCTCTGCTCAAGGAGCGCGAACATTTCTGGGGCACCCAGCAGCACGTCCACGGCGAGGATGGTATCGAAGGCGGTGTCCAGGAAGACCGGCGACAGCAGCAAGATGATTACTACGAGCGCAAATGATGCACGCGCCGAATAGATGATTGATGAGCGCTATGCACAGTGGTACCGTACTTGGGTACAGATATGTGGGACTGTGAAACCTGCCAGCGGTGTTGGCCACCGTGAACCTAGGCGTCATTGTGTTGCGGGGGGGAAATCGAGTTACGGGTCCTGGCACAAGTTGCTTGCATTACATGGTGTTGCATGTAGCATATGATAGATGATACCTGGGGCTTAGAGAAAAGCTGGACCAACGATGATGGTTTTATCAATATGAACTGAGGAGCACCTTATGCGCGTCACGCGTGAGGTTCCTGGGTGTGAGTGCTTCCCGATACCGACGGCAGGCGCTGGATCACCGCCCCGTTGTGCTGCCCCTCTGTTTACCTTCTTGCTGAGCCACGCGCTTGGACCTCCAGATGATCAACCACCCCAGCAACCGATGGCGCCTTCCTTCTTTGAGACAGCTATAAGTCTTTTCGCTTAACAAAAAAAAAGTGGCTGGCTTTTTTTTTCCCCCTGTGATTTTCCGGGGGAAAGGTGCACCCAACTGCAGGGAACCTTGAAGGAGCCGTCGCGAGACCCTGAGAAATATCAATTTTAATGTCAGCTTGACACTGACAGACGTGCATCACCGGGTGGTGCGGAAAGGCAAAGCGAACGGAACAAAATGACACGATATGCAGCCACAGGCTCACTGTACAAAAAATAAAAATAAAAAAAACGGGTGCACCTCCATAATCCCCCTTGTCCAACATCCTTCCTCGCCAACCTCTCATCCTTCTTCGCCTCGTCTGAGTTTTAGTGTCGACTTTTGATTCAGGGACTGGCGGCGGATACGCATACATCCAGGCCGGTATCCGTACTCCGTACAATTATTGTGCTGTCGGTGTGCCTTCCCTTCATCGCGTCTTCTTTTCTTTTTACCATCTGCATCGATCGACGTTGGTCTTGATTCCAGTACGGAGTATCAGTACCTAGGTAAAGACGAACGATTACTACCTTATACACGACATCTTCAGACTCTCGGTACATATTACCTTGGTACCTTACTTTCCCTTGCGTTCTTCCAAAGGAGCGCATGACAATCCCGACGTCACCCTGAGCGCCGTCACTTTTTCTCAGGGTCTAGACCAACCAACCGACACACGCTCGACGTCCAATCAAGACACTCATCATCAACGGCTGTTGCCGGCACTCGAAGCTCTCCCCAACGCCAGGACCGAGCTTGTTGGTTGCCCATAGCTGTTCCTTGCTACTTTCCAGGTCACTCAACCTATTTCGCCCCAGGGACCCCCCAAAAAACAACTTGACCGCGCCGCTCGTCTCCAGCCCGACCACAGCCGCTTGCCGACACATCAACACATAGGTAGGCCGAGTAAGCACGCGCGCATTGTCAACACGGGAATCCTTCTTCGCTTCATCTTCGAGCGATTCCTTCCTCCGTCTGACAGCGCTCGCCTGCTGCCAGCCATCGCACGGCCTGTTGCACGACGAACAACCAACGAGCCAGCGCACCACGACTCGTCTTCTACAGCCCACCCGACACCCGAGACTCAGGCCTGGGATTTAGCTTCCGGATCGATCATGAGCTTTCGTTCAGGCTTTGCGACATTGTGAATCACCACACAAACACCACAACAGTCACCGCTTCCGCCCGACCCCTTGCCGGTGTTGCCGCAACTCCTTTCCCTGCCTCACCCGTGAGCCCTTCGACATCCCTTGTTCCGTCGCCCTGACCTCCGACGCCTGCACCGACCTGCACCATGGCCTTCACATCCCAGTACCGAATGCCCGGTACCTACTTTGACGCACAACCCGCCGGAGTTCACCCTGGCGTCTTCCGACCACCCACTTCCCCCTCCGCCGGTTCTTCCTACTGTTTCGCCAGAGCAAACAGCTTCCACGCCGAAGCAAATACACCTTCAGCTCAGGCAAAAAGAAAACGGCGCAACAATGTCTCCCGCGAAGCTACTCCGCTGAATGAATGGAACGATGGCAACATGAATCTAGACAGCTCGAGCGAACTCCCTAGACACGAGACACCTCTACCGATCCGAGGAGCCCGATACACCCTGGCTGGCCAGCTCGAGACACCTGGTGCCGGCATCAACACGCCTTACGACAACGGTAACTTGGATGAGAGCATGTACTCAGACGGCGATTATCGAAGAGCCTTGGGATCAAAACGACCGCACGAAGAGATGGAATCGCCTATTCCAGGCCAGCCGACTGTACTGGTCCAGCCTAGCCACCCAGTCGCCGGCGGCTGGAGCCGCTTTGCGTTCAACACTATTGGTGGGGTCGTAGGCAAAGTCTGGGAATTCTGCAAGGCTGGGGCCTTCATTGGCTTCTCTGCTGGGGGTGGCAAGGCTTACACCATTGATGGCCAGAGCATCCGTCCCTCTTCAGCTGCTAACTCGGCTTTGCCTGCGCCTCAGCCAGAGCCGTCCGAGAAGTTCAACGAAAAATACGAATGGAGACAACAGCAAAGTCCCCAAAACTTGGATACGCCCGTTGGAGATACCACACCGCCCGGAGGATTCCCTCAGCCCCTCTTCACATCGTATGCCCGAGAGCCAGACCAAGCCCTGAACCCCGAACCCAAGGTTGAGGTTGAGGTCGAGGTCGAGGCCACACCTTCGCGACCCGCCGTAAAACGCCGACAGACGAGTGCAGGGAATCATGACGAGCTGCGAAACTGGGTTGTGGTGGACGAGTCAGCGCCAGGCAATAGGCCAGTTTCGAGGGCATCGATGCGACCAGCATCCCGCAACATGCGCCCTTCCCTAGTCACAGGCCGGAGGATTAGTGTTCCCAAGCCTCGTCTCAGCTCGATCCCGATCCACAACCGCCGCCAGTCTACGGCCAGCCACGAATACAATGCTCCGGACACCGCACCACTGTCATATCAGGAACCAGCAAGCTTCGCTAGTGTGAGATCTCCGGAGCCGCCGAGGACCTTGACCGGGCCCTCGCCGAGCCGAATCCCACTGCCAATGCAGTCTGCCGGCTCGAGCCCGAACCCGTTCGCGAAGACGACCGTCTCAGCCCGGCGTCAGAGTGCCATTCCGTCGCCAGCACAATCTTTAATGAGCCCACCTGTACGCTCGCATCGCCGCTCCAATAGCAGTGCTTCAGCAGCGTCACCTCGTGGTAAACTCAAGGAGTTCGGAGTGGACTCTATCCGCGCGAGCCCTCGGCTCGACGTAGAAGCCAAGAAGTTGGCAGCCAGACGAATCAAAGATGAACATGACACCGATGCGCGAATTAATGATTTCAACCAGAGGCTCAAGGAGATGATTCGCCAAGGCAGGGAGGCTCTTGGCACCAAGGTCGAGGTGGATGACGACGGCTGCGGCTGGGAGGATGACTGAAGGAGAGTACTTTCATGTTCATGGAGGGCGTTTTGCTAGGTTCTTTACACACATCTGGGCAGGTCTGCTTTTTGGCGGGGAGTTGAAAGGATGATTTCGTCGCGTGATACCATCCACCATACATGCGGCATTCTTGACAGGACCCCAACATTGCCTCGGGTCTAGATTTGCAAAGGTAGTTTCCAGCTCGAGATCTTCGGGCTTAGTAATCCCAAGGGTCTATTTGATGATATCTGGAGCCTAATAGGTTATGACTGCTCTACTATTCGGACGCAGCGGAGTCGTAAAATGGGCTTAGAATGCTGATCGTGACAACTTGAAGCTGTTTGTCGCAAGCCACGCTGTGCTTCTTTGGTAACCGGTATTTCCTCCCTAAACAGATTTCAAAATGCGACATCTTTACCAAATATCGCCTTGCCATACTTGCTGTTGCCCCATGCCAACGCTGCATCCACATATTCAAAATCAGGACTCGCCCATTGGTGCGACCGCGGCACAGATGGACGAATCTCCTGCTTGGAGCCGCAGCTCTGGCATACCTCGTCGTTGAGCTTCTCCAGCTCGGCCTCGCAGGCCTGGCAATGCTTGGCGCAGAACCACCGCGGGCAGCTCACCACAATACACTGTCGATCCATGGGCATGTGGTCGACTGTCAAGTGCTGCCCTCCGCAGCGACACTTCTTGAGGTGACAATCGCGACCGGCGTGATCCGGAATACCACACATGCAGCAGCGGGCTTTGCACATCATGGCTGTGATCCCATCGCCCATGTGAAAGGTGGGACATTCGCCCGGCGTACACATTTTGGGGCATTGCTTGGCGAGGTGTCGTTGAGGAAAGGGGCTGCAGCGGCAACGATTGCGCTTGGAGCTGGTGCAGGCGTCCACGTTGTGCCATGCCTGGCCGCAGTGGCCGCAGGGGAACGGGCAATGTTTCGTCTTGTGATAGCGGTCAAGGCAATTATGGCAGGGATTCTTTTGCTCTTGCCGTGGCTGTACTGAGGCTTCCTGGACGCTGGTTTGGAGTCTCTGGAGCACTTCTATTAACGTGCGAGGGTCCATGTCGGGTGTTATACCCAAGGCGTGTAGCTCAGCGGCGGAGAAATCGAGACGCACACGCCTGGGCGGCATGGTTGCGGATTTCTATGCGTAACGAATATTATATTTCCTGAGGGAGAAGTTGTTGTATGATGATGTCGGTAGATATAACAGTACCTGAAGGTAGTGGTGATGAGGCGACGACGAGGTCGGAATGGCAAACGAGGGGGGTGGCCGAATTGATTCAGACTGCAGTGCTTCCTCTGAACGTCGAACTTTTGTAGGAGTATCGCCGGTTTCTTCGTCACTGGTTAGGTATTTGGAAGATGGTATGGCTGGTTATATTCTGGTAAAAAGAACTTCCTCAATGCTGCCGCGGCGGTTGTTTGATGAGACGAGGTACCGCTTTGAATTCACCGAGTACACCGGCCACAAAAACGCGTTATGCACGGCCCACTTATCAAGGAACACACAGTGTTGGGACATGGTGTAAGGCTTCCAGTCGACTGTGTGCACCTGCAGATGCATCCTCACAGGATCCAAGGTCATTTTAAACCCCGGCTCTTCCTCTCTTGTCTGCTCGAATTCTATAAAAACATGCAATGGCGCCAGAGTCTACCTTCACTCTCTAGGTGCGCAGACCAGTAGGTTTCATGGCTCTACATAAGCAATCAATGCCCCGCCAATGCTCTACATCACAACTTATGCTCCCTTACGAAAATAGCCGCGATTAGTGCCAGCGCTGATGAGATGAGTGAAAAACCGTGGCTAAAGCCCAAACCCTCGACGTACGCCTGCACAATGGCTGCTGAAACCTTTCCATCCGCATGATCGATGTAGTCAACGCTCGACGTCGCTTTTGCGATAATCTACCCCAGTTCATGTGAGTACCCGCGACGGCTTGAGAAAAACATCGACTGGCCTCTCTGCTTACCTGCTTTCGCACCACTGCGCTGAGGTCCATGCCTTCCAGCAATGCGTCCAGCCGCCATCTCATCGTTTCCATCATGACGGCACTAACACATGACAGGCCGAGAATCATGCCGATTTGGAACGTCAAAAACATTCCCGACGTCACTGCGGCCTTGTGCTTGGGGTTGGCTGCGGCTTGAATGCTGATGAAACCCGCCGACTGTACCAGGCCAGCCCCAAATCCACCAGGCACGATGTAAAGCGACTCCCAAGCATTTGTATCTCCATGCCACCGGAGCAGCAAAAGCGAGTAGGAGAACATCGATGCGATCGTCGCAATAATCAATAGAAATTTGTAACGACCAGTTCTGTGCAGGTCAGCATGTCGCTCCAAACAAATTGCATCTTCAGGATTGACAAACTTTCTGATCAGATATCCAGCAAGGACGCCACCAATGGCATTCCCAAAGACAGCGGGGAAGAGATGTATTCCAGCAACAGTGTTGGATACACGCTGTGTCACCTGAAAATAGAGCGGGACGGAGAACATGAGGCCGAGTTGAGCTGCGACTTGACCACCGCTAATGACGTACGTCAGAATAATGTCGCGATGCTTCAACAGCTCCAGGGGAAAGATTGGCTCCTTGGCCCACCACTCCTCGACGGCGGCAAAGAGCCCACCAAACACGATAGCTACGCCAAAAAGGACGAAGATGAGCGGGTGGCTCCACGGTATCTTGGTACCTCCAATCTCAATCGGGAGAAGAAAGGTCAAGATGAAGAGTGCCAACAATGCAGCGCCGAGGAAGTCGATCCTCGCCAGAGAGCCCTTTTTGCCGTTGATGGGCTTGCCGCTTGCTTCAGCACCTTCATCTCCCTTGCCCACTTGCTTGCCTTTTGGCAGGAAAAACCAGCACAGCAAGACAGCAAGTAGGAAAATGGGTGCCTGGCCGAGGAAAGACCATCGCCACCCAATGGTATCGGCTAGCCAACCTCCCACAGGTCCACCAAGACTTCTTCCTACTGTTGCGGCCAGATTGATACCTGCTTGCCATGCAGCCACGTCACGGAGTGGGACGAGATCTATCAAGGTTAGCTTAGTCCTTACATCAAGGGTCCTCTATCATGTTCTACCTGTCACCAAGAGCAGTCCGAGGACGTTCAATGCTGAGCCACCAGATCCTGAAATGACCCGTCCAAGCACGACTTGCCACATTGTCCGACCGACGCCGACCATTGCGCTGTGAACAGTTAGTTGACAATCATACGGATAACCTTGATCAAGCCTACCATCCAATGGAAAACAAGGTATAAGCCACCATGAGGAGGGCACGCCGCCCGTAAATGTCACTGAGCTTGCCATACTTTCCGCCATATTAGTAATTGGACACACTTGAACTAGGTAGGGAGGGATGACGAACTAAAGTCTGAGTTGCCGCTCCTGCCAACGCGAAAGATACGAAGAGCCAACTGGAGTTTTCGAGATCATCGAATTCAGAGGCAATCGTTGGGTGCGTTGCCATCACCAAAGAGCCATCGGCGTTCGCAGTGAAAGTTCCCACCAGCAGGATAGACACGATCTTGATAACTGCCCAAGTCGAGGTCTTTCTAGCTTTTGCATCATCGCTGGCGGTTGTAACGGGTGCTACTTGTTCGACATCGACGCTCGAATCGACGACTTCTGACGACCGTGTGAGATGCCATGGAAGATATTGGCCGTCCGAGTCTCCGCTAGACGACGAAGAAGTCAAAGAGCTCTCACCTGACGAACTCGACCCCCGTCGAGTGTTCGACAACAAAGGCGACCTCTCGTCAACTACCCTCTGTGTTTCTTCACCACTTTGTAATGTCTTTGAGCGCGTCATGGTGATCGATTTGGTTGTGTGGAGGAGAGATTCACAGAGCCGCAAGCCAGCAGATGGAAGAAAAGGAAGGTGTCATCGGCTCTTCAAAACTCTGATGCAGCTAGGATAAACCTTTTCAGATCCGCAGTGGACAACCATGCCATGCGTCCGGTGTGGCACTCGGAGTTTCCCATGCACTGGGGAGGAAGGCAACGCCGCAGTATTGGCCAATCAAGCCTGGCATCATACCCAATGTCTCCCCTTTCCTAGATCAGTCAGTCAATGGGCATCTGAGGAGAAGCTCTTTGACAGGGAAACAAAAATTGCCGATAAGAAGATGCAGGTTTGCCCGGCGCTGGGGCTCAGGTATGGCGACATATTGCGCCATCGGCGCCATGCGACTTCGGACACCTCTCGGGCCCCCACACGGCCGGCAGCACGGCGGTAACCGGTGGATTTTGGGCCATGTTTGCTGCCTTCCCGGAAACCAAAAACAACTCGGACGACTCAAATTCAACGACAGAGCCTACGGAGTCTTTAATTTTCTTTTCTCTTTTCTGCGAGACGCTGCAAGACGCAGCCGCGTGTGGAGATTCTCAGCAAATGACATCCTTAGCTTGGATCCTAGTCCGAGGGTTGTTCCTCTCCTTCAGACCCGTGCCACATGTGGCAATTCGGGCTGTTGTGAGTCGGAGCCGGATCTCGCCGGATAACTATGTTTCCCTGACTCATCAACACAGCTGACCAGACTTCTGAAACTCTCCTGTTCTTTGCGATCGCCGCTCCGGTACCGAAATTGTGTGTGTGCATGCCGGCTTAGATCGCGTCGCGACGAGCCGATTGTTTGGGTTTCGGGTCATTCACTACAAGTTGTGTTTATCTGGCCGGCCCCCGGGCTTCTTTCATCTTCCGATCCCGCTGTCCTACTTTGGATAATCCAAACACTTGAGTTTTCGAAATTGAAACAAACGTGGGATCGTCATACAAAGATTCGGCTGCAATTGTTTCAACTTTGAAAATCATGAGGATCGTGGCATGTTCTATCTGATGACCCAGACTTCCATGTAATTGAGAGTTGCTCAATGGTAATTGAGCTTAGACCGGCGTTGATATGATATTTATTCTCTCAATTGATATTGGCATGATTGGGAGACAAAGGCATGTTTCGCAAGTCCCTAGCCAAAGCCTTCGGTCCACCTCCCAAGTCCCTATCATGTCTTGACAATTGGCATACGCTTGTTCCAGCTTCAGATGGGGTCTTAACTGCCACTTTTCCTGACGCTTCCTCTCAATTGCTTTGCAATAAACTTGCATGAGGAATGGGCTTTTGAATATCCGTATGAGAAAGGTTATAGGCGCATGGGTGACATGTCTGTGCCTACTACTATACCTCGAAATAGCAAACAACTCCACACTGATAGTCCATTTATGATATATTTGAAAAGTAATCAATACGGAGTTTCCGTTTACTTAATCATCTCCGACCTTATGTGTCCCCATAAACCGGCGGGATGACTCTGCATACTTGCCCCAAGCACCATATCCGCGGCTGGGCGAGCTATGTTTTGGAGGACACTGCAGATGTAGAGTAGTATGGGAAGAGGAGTGAGAACTCTATTGTATAGGCGACCCACGCAACTGACCACAACCGAAGCCTCTTCTTGTATACATCTGACTAGCCGAGATAATAACTGCAATTTCCGGGAAAACTGGATATCAATAATCCATCCCGCGGATGACCGCAAAACCTTACTATGTGGGTTCCAGAGGGAGAACATTGTACAACGTACGAAGCAATACGAACAATACGAATGACTGTACCTACTCCGACAGTTTACAGCCTTTCAGCAGTCTTTATAAAGACTAGCCTTGACGCCTTTGACCATCATGCATGATTTCTATCATCAGACTATAATTGACAAATTAATCACCTACACTTTGACACCTCCAACACTCTGTACGACCGAGACACTTTTCCATCAAGATGCATGCAACTCTGAAAATCGCCATCCTCGGCCTTGCTTCTCTAGCTGCTGCAGTGCCATCCTCCCCCAACGCTGACGCCGGTGCACTCTTTGCCATCGAAAGTTAGTAAATGCACGGCACCTTTCGCGTTGTATATCTGTCTCTAATCAAGCTGTGAAATTGTAGAGAGATGCACAGGACTCTATGCCAGATGCAATGACGACTGCTGTGGCTCGTTGACCAGCTGCAACTATATTCCCATCTGCGGCAATAACCGCTGCGTGTCATACGACCCCGCTATCACCTACAACCCTACTTGCAACTAGGTGTTTACTCAATGAGTGGGCTCAGTTGGTCAAGAAGTCCGACAACTTTTAGCCTTCTATATGTTGTAAGGGTTCTGAGGGGAGCAGAGGAAGACTGAGCCAGAATTGATACGAGAAATCTTTGAGTGGGCCAGCTTCGTGACGTCTTACTGAATAGAGCTCAGAACCTCTACCCTGTCACTTCACCGATATTCTCCTTAGCTATACGATATTGGCTCACAAAGTTATATATTTCCGTCCATCATTATGTTGTGGTTGTCAAGAGGGTTCCCCTAGCCTTGGTCTTGAAGTGTGACAAATCAACCCCCAAATAGTGAGCTTAAGTGGATTAGACAGACGAAGCTTGTCTTTATTACTTCATTTTCGAGACTCTTGCAAACCCACTCAGTCAAACTAAGTTCCGAGTCACTAGGTTTAAGCACCAGTATCAACTTGGGGACCGCACCAATTAGGCTGTACAATCTCTCCCAAAATTATCACGTCTGTATAAAACCTGCACTTGCTAGCTACGCATTCTTCAGACTGTTGAAGTCGTTTGTTGACCAACACCTCCTAACTTAGTGACATACCTTCAGATGTGATCACTGACATACCGATTTCGAGTTTGCCGATGCCAGCTTTGGAATAATGCGAATGCCCAGAAAGGATATTCATCATCAGTCTTGTTTGCTGTGCTTTCTACTTCAAACAGCTGCGGTCATACGACTTATGATCACATTAAATTCGGAGCACTTGGCATTAACAATCAACCTTTAGGTCAGCCTAGAGCTTGGTATTGGCCTCATAGCTACCAACGCTGGTACGTCCAACACTTTCCGGTAAGTTCTGAGGTTTGCGATCTAAACGTACTAGGCGCCGATGACAACATTCCTGGATGGTGTCTAAGGAAATAATAATGCAGCTTACCAGAGAAAACGAACTGCTCATTGGGCTCCTCTCCCAATCATACGGACTCTGCATCTCCCACACTAGGACTTGGCAACTATCGGTTCCAATATGCACACAGCCGAAAGAGCAGCATGAAGCCGAATAAGATGTCGAGCTGTCAAGCCATGCAGAATCTCTGATTGTCATCGTAGAATAGAGCCTGATGACGGAGGTCTCGGGCATAGCGCGATGCCCTATACCTTGAAAGAGGCACATATTCGAGAAAGCTCATGTACCGGCATTAAGTGTCGCTAAAAACATGGGGTCTGAAGATCGCATATCAGGGCATCGCGGCACGCCTCGGACGATGAGCACAGGGCTACGCGAAAGATGTTCACTTGGATGCGGTAGATAGTCAATTACGTTCTTCTATATCTATTCAGCGTTTCTATTTTCCTGCCAAGGTCACTATTTCCAGATTTCTCAGGAGACGAGTTCTTGCTAGAAGCTTCCCTCGGCGCATCCTTGGCTTAGACTCTCGCGGCATCCTGACGGATTAGGATCTTTGCCGCGTCTTGCTGTGAAAGAAGTCCCAATGGCAGCCAAACTGGCAGATTGGAGCCAACGAGCAACTTTTGCCAGCTGGAATGGAATGCCAAGTGTGGCTTATATCCTCGCAATATCTGGCAAGCCAACATGCCTGTTTTTCTCGTTCTCCGATTATCAGGCGAAAAGACTGTGAGAGCCGGCTGGCACGGCCCAGTTGACCACCCTTTCGCCCGTCGTGGGGCCTTTGATAGTAAGTGATCATGGAGCTCGGCATGCCCGAGCCGCTTCTGCGCCGTGTGTGCCGGGTAAGTCGGAAGGGCCGGATGCCGCCGTCCGCCCGCTAGCGATGCTTCAGGAGTGAATTGTATGCCATGGCTAACAGCTCTCTGAGGTAGCCCTGAGGAATTTTCCGAGGCTTTTCATCGTCGTCGTCCTTGGCCGAAACACGAGATCGTTCACAACTTGGCGTACCGACATCGGAGACGCTGTATTCCGCGACCCCTTGGGTTGAGACGCAAGCTTTTGGATTATGATGCTCTGTACTGGTATGTATGCGGCGATCATAACCAAGACTTGCAATATCTCTTCTTGTCGCTTTCGTAATCTTCATAAAATCCTTCCCACATAACCCGATCGGCGCACCGGGGTCGATCAGGCTTGTCTTCTTCGTCGTCGGGGCAGTCCGGCAAGGCAGCTTTCCATTGCGCGTCCGAACGGGAGAGCCACGGCTTTGGCAACGGCCAATCGCTGAAGTGGACCAGATAGGCTCTTGATACCTCGGCCATGGCGTTCCATTCCTCGTCGTCGTCGGGCGCAAGGTATTTCTGGTGCTCCTTGGCTCGGAATTCGCCGGTTAAAAGTGCAAGTCGACGATGCGGGAGGATCATGGCCGAGTCCTTGAACATGTGATTCATGACCTCCATGTCGAAATCCCCGGATTTGAGCGCCTCGCGCACGATCTTATCGTACCGTGACTTATTGGGCTCGATGAGCATGACATGGGAGCCAAGGACTTGCTTGACGATGGGCGTATCCTTCTCATTCAGCCAGTACGCGCGGGGGACGGCCACGGCCGCCATTGGTGCCAGAAAATAGTGATCCATGTTCTTCAAGATCTGCGAGTCGGAATCGAAGGCCAACACTCGTGTGTAATCCGTAAGATCGAAGGCGTGGAACTTGGTTAGGCTCTTGGACCATGTTGCCTCTCCTTTATGTGTAGTGAGTAGACCAAATGGTCGCATGACGAGGTCCGGTAAAGCCTTTTGGATGTTTCGAACAGCTTTGGCCTCCTTCGAATCCCCTTCCGCCCAAGTTTTGGGAAAGATCAGGACCTGGTCGTGCTTTGCGCCGAAGCGGTGCAGGCGGTTGAAGTTGATCACCTAATCGTCTGCGCATTAGCAATTGATCTCCCATGTACCACGCCACCCCCTAGAAAGTCATAGGGTAGACATACTGCATTACACAGGTAGTTGATGTCCGTCGCGTACTGAACATATGCAAATCGAGGTTCTAGCTGCTCGGTGGTCCAGAACGGCTTCAGCTCTGCGAGCGAGCCCGGTCTATCGAATGTGCCGTTCCCCAGGACATTATGTAGAGGGTTTGGTATGAAATTGTACTTTATCGACTGGTAACCCGTCAAAAGAACGAAGACGAAGACTCCGCAAGTCAGCGCAACGGCGCGTTTCGTTGATATAAACATGATTGGCAACGAGAAGCAAGACGGTTGAGTTGACAGCCGACTGAGGTGACCTGATACCACGAAAGGATTGAGACAGAGGTAGGGCCTCGGCTACCGTTTGTCTACGTCCATGAAGAACCCTACGTGGAGAGACGATGAACAAAGAAGGGCTCGTTGAATCAAGGGGAATTTACGAAAACCTTAACCTGGGCCGAAGGAACCGTTCCATGATCTAGGATGCCGCCCTCCTTATTTGAGTCTGGCGTGGGCTGCAGCGATGCCCCTCCTCTTCACAAAAGGAGGCTAACAGCATGAGGAACGATTTACCGCTGATTTCGGAAAAGTGAATCTTCACCGTAAAGAACTATGGTTGAGGCAGGGCTTCCTGGCGCAAAAGACCTCGTATCCAAGGGCCCAACTGTCAGACGGGTGGGACGCGCACCTATTTAGGGATCAATGGCAGTCTTAGTCTCTTGGGGGTTCTTGGGGCGCGACAAGGGTGGTTGCTAGCGCAAATCTAACGTTGACGCGGAGTGCCCGGGGCCGAGGCCAAGCTGTCAGGATGGTCACTGTCAGTGTTTTGGGCCATTGTGGTTCGGAAGAAACGTGCTTTTTGAACAAGAGTATAGCTTTCTCTTGGCCAATGGCTTGATTGGGCTGATGCTGAATCCATTAAACGTACTGTATCGATTGTCAGCGTCAGTCTCAGCTCCCCGGTATCGAATATTGCCCAACTAGCAATTCCCTTTCCTGGGTGGCTCGACTAACGCCATTTTGGTGTGGGATGGGTCCCCCTGGCTTAGAGTTATGAAGTGGAGAGTGAGTCGATATGAATCACTGATCAACGAGTCAACAACACGAAAGGGTCAGCCCCCGCTGTGTCCCTGAGCTACCGCAACTTTCGGATAGTGATTCCGGCGCCGTGAACGCGGTAGGGGAATTGCTGCCAGTGCCCAAACGAAGAGCGGGAGAATGACCACAATCACGATGAAAAACGTACAAGATCAATGAGTATTCAAAGACACGGACGATACTATGGCGCCAAGCAACTTTGCGCGTCGCCGATACGCTCGAATCACGGCTGGCGTCGTTCTTGCGATGGTAAGTTTCCATAAACCAATGCCTGTTGGCGAGGACAAGATCTGACAGAACGTTTGAAGCTCGTCTGTCAAAATGCGGCCAGCATATTGGTGAGTTGACAGCCTTGGACTGCGCCTTACTTGCAGTTCAATCATGGACAACTAGAATATGACTGATGGGATCGATAATTAGCTGCAGCACAAGGTGCAGAGCCGCCCGCAGGACAATTCCGCTCGGTATGAGCCTCTCAGTGCTGTTGTCCTTTCCGAGGCGTTGAAGTTGCTCATCTCCCTCGGCGGTGCTGCCTGGGCTTACAACAATACTGAAGACCGCTCGGCAATTACTTCCGGATTTTTAGAATACGTGCGGAGCGGCCATGACAACGCTGCCATACCGGCTTTCTTGTACACGCTCTCGGCCACCAGCCAGAGTTTTGGGGCTTACCACCTCAGCATTCTGCCGTACCTGATGCTGTCGCAAGTCAAGCTCATCCTGACACCTATCTTCAGCAAAACCCTCCTAAAACAGACACTGCACCCTCATCAATGGCTGTGCCTGGTTATGATGGCAGCAGGAATAGTCATGGTACAGGTCGGTTCTCTACCGTCGTCATTGAGCGATGTCAACAGCGATGACGCAGGCAAAGATAGGGCCTTCGGAATTGTCGCCATGCTGATGGCTGGTTGCTGTAGCGCTTTCGCTGGTGTCTATATGGAAGCTGTCCTGAAGTCCTCAGAACGTAGTTTCATGGTTCGCAACGCTCAGCTGGCGGCATACGGCTGTTTATGTGCACTCGGCGGCTTCTTGTGGCAGTCAGACTTTAGCACCAAAGGATTTTTCCTTGGTTACACGACGCTGGTCTGGGATTTCGTTCTGTTGCAAGCCATGGGAGGGTTTCTCGTCTCCTGGGCGGTCCGTGTATCGAGCACCATTGCCAAAAATTATGCCCAGAGTTTGGGTTTCCTATCAGCCTCGACGATTCCCCTCCTCTCGTCACCTCACGCATTGAACTTTGAGGTAAGGACACCAAGAGTCCTCGACTAAGATTCTCGAACCCTTGAACTGACTGGCTTGTAGTTGTACTCTGGTATCGCAATGGTTCTAGGAGGTGTATTCGGATCCCTATGGAAGACCGAAATGCCTGTTGATTCCATAGTAGACAGTGACGAAAGACCTAAAGAAGGATCAATAGTTTAATGACGAATGACACGTACATTCATGGCCTACGGCTTCTCTTCCTAATCATCTCACTCGACAACGCAGAGGTTCTGGATTAGAGACCATGGAAGGTTTCACCACTTCGGATATTCTAGTAAATAGAGTGAGTTCCCTGATGTCCGTGAACTCGGGGGAGTAGTTGCCTTTACGGCCTCGCTCACTTTTCTTTCCGCACTTGTAGCCAAGAAGCAGGCTTTTGCTGAGATGATTCTTCCGCCCTCCTCGAAGAGCAGCTGTGCTGCCGCCGGAATGTCGATAAAATACAATAGGGACTGCCTAGACTATGCTGGATATCCACGCTTCTCACTTTCCGTGAAGAAGATGACCATGCGCCATAACTTTTTGACCATATCCTCTGCCTCGTCATCCAATGCCTGCGGTAAGTGTTAGCGACCCTACAAAGAGAAGAGAGGGGAATGGTATACGTACCGCTGCAAGCTCTTCCACCAGCTCGGAAGGCTTCCCGTGCTTCCGAAGATGCTCCTCCACGACCTCGACAAGCATTTCCTCTTGTACGCCTAGATACTCGACAATTTTCTTCTCGACAAATGGACGGAGCTTGTCACGGATGATGGCATCGTCCAAAAAGTCCCACTGCACAGCCCAGTTCCATAGGCCGTCTTTCTCTGACGGGATTTCCTGGGCAAGAGCACGAACGGCCTTGCTGATCTCCTCCTCGGTCATCTTATCCGCCGCAGTCGTAGGCTCGAACTGGATGGGGATAAGTTGTCTTCTCGTTGTGCTGTCTTGTTCCTCGTCGTCGAGAAGACCCTCCACTTCAGCAACAGTCCGTCGTTGGGGAGCCACGCGTTGGGCTTGTGCGCGCTGAGCCGCAGCACCCAGCGATAACTTGAAGGGCGCTGGTGCGGACGCGGCTGCTTGTTGTCGCTGCTCCATCTCATGGGCTTGTTGGTCAAGGAAGGAGTCGGCCATGCCGCGCGCCCTCTCCATGTCTGCAGCCCCTCTCCGGCGCTCGTCCTCTTCAGCCCTCCGATCTGCCTCGTCCCTGGCTTGTTCGTCGGCTCGTTCGATTTGTCGCTTCTTCACCCAGCCCGCATGGTCGCGGTAGTACAAGTGGTTCTTTCTAGACGCTTCTCTTTCGTCATCCCAGGCCTTTTCCCGTTCAAGCTGCTCTTGTACGCGTCTCTCCAGCGTCTCCTCATCCTGCAATTCACGGTCCTTTTCTCTCTCCAAGGCTGCAGCACGGGAACGTTCTCTGTTCACCCATTTCCGCTCCGCCTCAAGATACATCTTTTCTTCCTCTGACTTTTGCTTCGAGAGCTCCCGCTGGTAGATCTCCTCGTCGTCGGCCTCCGTATCTTCGTCTTCGCGGTTAATAGACAATTCGGCGTTCGAAATACCCCCGTTCACGAAGGATGTCGTGCGGGACCCATTCTGTCCTCTGGGGCCCGAGGGCGCGTTGTGCATCCCACGGGGTCCAACAGGAATATTATTGGAGTTAGAGGGCGGCGGAGAATCCAGCCGTGATGACCGTGAGGGTCCATTGCGATTCCTTTCCATCTCCTCCATCTCTTCCTCGCGTTTGAGACGCTCCAGATCTCGCTTGTTGCTGCGTTCTCTGAATGCTGCGATCTCTGCGGCGACAACTTCTCTCATCTCCGCAGGGATATCTGCAAGCTCGTCATCTTGAGCCAGAGGGATATTGACAACCTCGACGTTCTCTCCGGAGTTGCCCATTGACACATCGCCTTCGCCGTCGGCTGTGCTTGCGGATTTGGGATACACCAGGTCTCGGATTACCTGCTTCAGAGTATCCTTGGCAGTCTTTGTCCGGGATTCGGCACTACTATCATCACCTCTGCCTTCCTTGTAAGATTCGATGTACTTGAGAGAGCTCGGGTCAATGGCGACTTGAAGCTTGACCATTTCAACTCCATCGAAAGAGTCGCCTTCCGATGGTACACTTTCGGATGGGGTTTGTCGCTTCAGGGGGACCTCGACGTCTTGGAGCAGATCGCAAGCGGTTGCAAAGGAATCGGCATCCTCGTACTGCGCGAAGCCAAACTTTGCTCCTTTGCCGTCAGAAAGCACTGAAGTAGCGACGTCCCATCTCCGAAGTTTTCCGACAGAGTTGAGGATGGATTCAATGCCTTCATCGCCTCTTACGCCTTCAGGAATTTTATGAATGAATAATGTTCTCAACTTCTCCTCGTTGGTCGGCGGGACCAGGGACTGCATGTGCTCGCGTGCGGCAGCGCGGGACTGATCGTACCCGCGGTCCATACCCAATCCTTGTCGTCCGCCGCTCGGAGCATTGCTGTCTTTTCTGCCGACATCAGGGCCGCCTGTCTTGCCACCTATGGTACCAAGACGAATGACGGGTGCACTGAAGTTGATATTTGGGAGGTTCGCGGGAGCTTGGAAGTTAGGCGGCAGGCCGCTTTGTCGGTTAGCTTGGGCATTGTTGGACTGCTGGACACCGGGAGGTGGTGCCATTCCCGGAGCGGAAGACATGCCTGGCGGAGGGCCTGAAGACGAGTTAGCAGAGCATCTTGGTATCAGAGCATTGTGTTCCGAACCTAGACCAGGTGGAGGAGCCATGCCTGGGGCGCCATTGGACCCCGGGAAGCCACCGTAAGTCGGAGGCGGCCCATACGGGTTTCCTGCTGCAGAGATGAGTGAGAAACGGATCGTTGGGAGGTTCGAAGATCGACGCACCTCCATAAGGATTGTAGGACATCGTGGAAAAATCCACGGAGTTATTGACGGAAGGGTAGAGGTAGATGTGGGATCGTGGACCAAACGATTCTGCAATTGCCGAGACTGCCTTGGGTCGCGGAGATAAAATGCTGTCAGTGATAAACAGATTGTCGGTGATGCTCCGATTCAGACCTCGCCGCTCAGATCGAAGGAAGGGAAGGGGCGAAAGTGTCTGCGTGGTAGACGGAGGCTGACGGAGAGCGTGGCGGTAGGTGGGACGCAGAGCTCCAAAGTTGAACACTGAAGCTCTTGGTCTGTCTCTGTAGTCAAGTCTCTCAGGGCCTGATCCAGTTCTCTCCAAAATTCGGCGCGAGGCCAACGCGAATTGGCCTTGTAACGCGACAGCTCTTTGATTGGTCGATCCTCGATGGTGGGCCCCTTCGGCATCTCGGAGATACCCTTCACCGAACAAGCTTCCAATCGATTGAATTCGCGACTCGTCAGGTCTGGGCTTTGGAAGGAAATATCATAAGGTCAATCGCCAAAGCTGCGCCAAATCGATTCCCTTTGCATTGTGCTCGCCTGGCCTCGGCGACACTCAATCGCAATGTGAGAATCTCTCCTCGTACTACTGTTGATTCTTGACTAACCAATGTCTTCTAGGGCGTCGGAAATCGGGTTGCTGAGCAAAAGACTGCTCACCACCTGCACCATCCGCAATCCCTCTCTGCATGCATCAAAAGCGTTCCGACAGCCATTATGGGCTCACCCGCGTGCCTTTGCGACCTCTTCGATCCTCTCGGCCCCCCCTCGCTCCGGTTCACGATCAAACCTTGAAGGCCTGTTCTCCAAGCCCTCCCCGACGAACTACGCCCAACCGCCGCCTCCGCCGCCGGCCGTAGACGCGGCTGCCTCTTCTCAGGAGAAGTCCGATAGTCCCTACGCATATGACGCCACTTCTGACACATTTGATATTTCCAAAATCATCGCCATGGAATCGGATGAATTCCTCAAGAAGCATTACCCCACAAGCAAACAAGAGCCCGACCTGCGCACACGTCCACAGACTGGTCGAACTGTACACCTTACCAGCAAGACGGACTTGGCCAAGGCCCTGAAGCTTCTTGACTTCAACTGCAGGAAGAACAAGGTCAAGAGACAGTTCCAATTACAGAAGTTCCATGAGCGCCCGGGAAAGAAGCGCAAGAGACAGAAGAGCGAGCGATGGAGGGCTCGTTTCAAGGAAGGGTTCAAGGCAACAGTGGCGAGAGTCATGGAGCTCAAGAATCAAGGCTGGTAGGAGCGAACACTAGCATGTGACAATATCCCTGGGGAAGATGTAGCACATGGTGTCTACAAGATGTACAATATGTAGAAATCACAAAGATTTTGTTGTCCCAATGCGTTACTTGGGGTATTATTAGCGGCTTCAAGTCTGCATTTCGAGAGCGCAGAGTGTGTATAGGTGTCTACAGAGATTGCTCAAGTGGCTTCCTGGACGGTGAGGGGGCCGGGCTCGTCTTGATCCTCGGCCGGCTACGGAATACAGCTTCCATGTCCTCAACGGCCATCAACTCCTCGGCAAGTATCGATGCATCAGGGTCGAGCTCCATCGTCTCCTCCTCAACGACGGGGATCTGGCTCTCGGTTCGGGCTCGAGGCCGTGACTTCTTCAGCGATTTTTGTCTGTCCAGTTGTGCTTTTTGATGGGCAGCCTCAAACCCAACCATGCTCTTGCGTGTGCGAGCCACCAGGTCGTCCTCATCCGTCACGCGAATCGTAACTTCCCCAGTCCGGCGATTAGCACTGGCAAAGGATGGTCTCAGGGTCAGCGTGTCATCTTCCTCGTCGTCTGGGTCGTATCTGACGTTACGCGAGGATCGAGCCATTGACAACCGCGTCCGCTCTGCGAGGGACAGGGTATGACGTGGTTTGGAGCGCTTGACAGGTGAGGGGGATGCCACGTCTATGTCCTTCAAGATCTGGTCTGCCAGCTCTTGTGTTGGTGATTTGGGTGGCTCGGGTGAGCTGTCTTCCCTTTCAAACGGAACCTCCGCCTCCCCTTGTTCTTCCAGGGGCGGAGTTGCAATGCGGTTGGGGATTGTCTCTGTAATGTCGTCTTCGTCCGGTAAAGGGGGGGTTGGCGGAGGGATAGCCAGTTCATCCTGTGACTCTGGCGGTAGTAGCAATGGGCTAGGTAACGGGGCTGGCAGGTCAGAACTGCTGGTCCGGGAAGAAACGTTGATGGCGGGACGTTCGACGCGTCTGAGATGGGGTTCCTGCAGCGACGGACGCCGGGGTAAATTGCTTGTTCCATGCAAATCGTCCTCTAATTCGCTGAGTTCTGATATGGTCTCGTCTCCGAGGCTTTCTCTCGTAGCCTGAATCCCATCTGGCTTCTCGTGTTGGCGAGGCCGGGGGCCCAATGTCTCGGTGAGCTTAACCACAGGCAGAGAGCCTACTTCAGCCAATTCTGCCAGACAGTCATCCAAAAGATTGGAGTAATTCCTTGACAATGAAGTGCTCTTCTTTGCAAGCTGCCTTTTCGGGCTCGTCTTTCCCAGATGTAAGCTCTCATGTGAGTCGAAGTCGAGGTCGATGCCACGTTTTGCTGTCGTTGGCTGTGACGTCTTGGACGTTCTGGCTTTGCGTCGCTCGCCGAACATGCCGGCTCGGAATTCCTGCCATCTCGCAAGTCTCTCCCTCTGCGTCCTGACACGGTCGTCCAATTGCTCCAAAAGCCCTGCATCGTGTGTCTCCAATTCGGTAAGTCGGCCAGACTCCAAGCGCCGCCAGACTCTATCAAAAGGGGCCGACAACAGGCCATCCTTCCGAGCGTCGGAGTCACCGTAGAGAAGAGTCTCCATCCATTTCTCATTGCCAGCCCAGTTCGTTCGTACCGTCCTCCAAGTGTCCAATCTAAGATTGTCTGGTAGGTCTCGAGCGCTTGTCATTTCTCGAGCGGATTTGATTTCCTCCTGCCTCCGTGCAATGCCTTTCTCTTTCTGGCTCAACACTTCAGCAAGGTCGCGATATTGTTTCCTGGCCTCATCTTTCTTCCGCATAGCATTGGTGATGGAGGCTCTGTGAGCAAGCGCAAGAGTCACAAGCTCCGTCCGTTCGGCACTGTACCCCCGATTTTCTAACGCAACTTGCTGGGCGATAGCTGGATGCTCGTGCTCGGCTTCTGTCACTTCGGCCACCATCTTTTTCAAAACGGCGGACGAGAAGACGGCAAGAACTTCTTCCAATCTCTCCCCTTTGCATTCATCAAGCATGGTCTTGCGAACCACGGCGTCTCGTCCGAGGACTCCATTCTTCTTGGCCTGGTCGAGACTTCGCAGGAGGGCAGCTCGTAGGTTCATGGATTGAACATGGTCTCGGGGCGGAAAGAAGGGTTGAAGCTTCTGTAAACCACCAAAAATTAGCAGAGTCCAGGACACTCGCGATTTGCACATACATTCCGCGCCTCTTCCGGGTCCCATAGCACGAAGAGCTGGTAGAGAGTCCATTCTACGCAGTGGATGCGCTTCTTCTGCACAGAGAAGGTCTGCGCATCGAAGTCTGGCCAGTCTGGGAACGAGGGAAAGTCCAACAAGCGAAGGTTGGTCAAAAAGAGGGAGGCATTGGTGGTAGGCGCGGTACTCGTAGATATCGAGGCGTTGAGGGGTGCGCTCAGGGTCTTGGTCGACGGGCCCGATCGCGGTTGGCGTGACCGTGCAAGCAGAGAATTGGGTGGCAGAGTCGCCATGACGACATTTTGCTTGCAAGAAGTGGTCTCGAAGAATCAAAGTTGACTCTTGTCTTGCGTCTCCCTTCGGATGGAGTATAGGGGGGGGGGGGATGTCGTCTACGCAGGCGCGCGTCGCATTGAATTGGTTCCAAATGCAGGCAGCGCATTTGTTGTGTTGATGGTGGGGAGGAAACGGCGGTGGAGGGATCAGCCCAGCCCAGCAACGCTTAGCGCGCCAGGGGTCCCCAGAATCTCGGTTAGCGGTTGATTGCCTGCGCTCCGCCTGGCCTTACCTGTTCTCACCTTGGTCCACCTCAACTCGCCTTAGGTACATCAACTCATGCTCGGTGTACATTGTCCCAGCTTCAAGGTGAGCGGACTGTCCCTTTGGTTTTACGAAAATGCTTGCTCCAGGCACTCAGAAACTGGGCTTTGCAAACAGTTCAGAGTCAGTATCAGACTCATCGAGACTTATCAAAGACATCTCTACTACGTATATTTTATCGATCATCAGTTAGAGCGCGGGCGTCTGTGCGTACGACATGGCGTTACTGCCTTTTCTCCGAGTACCTATCCGTATCACTAAAGTTTAGACACATTACCAACGGTTCACAAATGGTAGAGTCGAAGCACAGGGGCATATTCAGACAATGATCGTGGGCAAATCAGCATAATTCAACCCAAGCAAACTTATACCTCGTTAATTTGACTAAACGAAGCGAAAGTTCTCAAGTCTTGCCAGATGTGTTTTCAACAGCATTCACAAATTCCCTCTCTAGCCCTGCCTGCACCTCCAGGTAGGCATATTGTACCTTGTTGGGATGACGCAGGCCACAATCGGCAGCAAGATGGTTTGAATGTCATCGTGAAGAAAGCTGACTGTATTTCCAATAGGTTATCGCTCAACTCTAGCTTTCTTCCAATCTTTATACCATGTGCCCTCAATTAGGATTACTGCCATAGCTGTTAGTAAATACAGCCACAGAATACCACACGTCCTTGGTCAACTCACAATGTAGCCCCTGTGTTATCAGAACAGACCGCTTTCCCGGAGACGGCAACGCATTCCCCTTGTCCACTTGAAAGAAGTACAGTGCCGTTTTCAAGATTAGGGTCAACATCAGTCCCGGCGAGATCTTGAAGAGCCTTCCTATCCGCGGCTTGCTGCTGTCGGCTACCGCCGCGCTGAGGCGAGGCTGCAGCAAGGCCGAAAAAGGCGATCAGGGTGACCGAGGAAACAGAGGACAGCTTCATGATTCGAGTTCTTGAAATGGGAGTTGAAATGGAATGGTATATTTCGGGGTTTCAGTCTTAGTGAAGAGGATTGGGCCAGCCAGGAGGTTAATCCATTGAACTCAAGCGAAGTCTGGACTGTGGAAATGAGATGCTCTTTTCAAAAGCTTAATATTCACTTTCCTGTTCTACCTGAAGTCTTCATTTTATATGCATTCCGTAAACCTGGGCGCGAGGCTCATGTGTTGTCACAAATGGGATGACAGGCCGGTTTCGCGGTTGTCTCAAACTTGACAGGCGGCTCCTAGCACATCAGGGTGAATTTGACGCCTGCCACAGTCTCGAGACAGGTCCACTCCAAGCGCACCTTAGGATCATCTGTATAC